ATGAACACATGTTCAGTGCGGATGAAGTGTTATGAAGTTTAAGAGTAAAAATAATAATAAAAAAAAAAAAAGAAAAACATCAAAAAAGCTGAAGTGTTGGAGCAGCCACAGGTCTCAGGATTTTCCTGGCAGTAGAAACCAAACCTTATTTGTTTAAAAAAAAAAAAAAAAATCCATTGAGAAGTGACCTGTACTACGATGACAGATGTATTGAAGTCTTTGTTTGAATTCTGCACAGAAGTGAAAAAAATATTAAGTAACCTTTTTTTCTTTTTGCAACAATGTCACCTGTTGTAGTTTGATGAATGGGAAATTAATTTAAAACTTTATTTCAACAAGGGAAAAAAAAAAAGCTGTTTACAAACCTGTGTTCAAATGTTTGCCAATAATTAAATACATCTGCAAGAGCAACGTTGGTGTAATATTTCTGACCTGGACTACATTTTACACAAAAACAGGTTATTTTAGTGGTAACATTTAAGAGCCTTCCTGCATGAGAATGAGGGAAAAAGTCAGTGTTCTCCATTTGAATATTCGTCCAAACTGCTCACCAACTAATTCCCGTGTGAAATTTGTTGAAACCAATGCAAGTCCGATTGCTGGAACAAGACTTACCAGTAGTTAAATTTAGTACATTTTTTGGAGATGGTGATGTAATCATGAAACGCTGTAGGTTGAGGACATGTTTCTGTTTTAATGTAGCCAACTGAACAAAGTCAAGCATTGTTACTATGTTATGTCAAGACCTTCATGGATACATGTCTCGTCTTTATTTGCATCTTTTGTAGGAAGTCTGCTCACACAGTATGATAACCTGACCAGACAACACTTACAGAACAATGTTTCTACTGGGTACGATTTGATTTGGCACAGGTGTAGTACGACTGCCAGATCTAGTATGATATATAATTTCCTGTACAACAACAGGTTGACAACTAAAAAGAAACAACTGCATCAGAGGCGATTGTGAGTTTAATTTAAAGATATGTTCCTGATACATGGACGTCCACATCCACACAAAAAGAAAAAAAAAAGTTGACCCTCTCATTGAAACCTGTTGTTTACCGCCATTTCACCTTTTATCCAGAATTCAAGGTAATGTTCACATTTAAAATAAATAATTTAAAAAAACTAAAGGTAAAGGCTGTTGGAAGTAGTACCAATGTGATGCAGCAAAGGGCGCTCTAAGCATAGCCTAGGGTAGTCTTCACAGGTTACCCTTAAGACTAATATTGTAGTTCATATAAATGCACTGCATTTTAACACGTTTTATGTACATAACTGAAAAGAATGATATGATGCTGTTTGCTCAGAAAAGGCTGAAAGTCAGTAATGAACATCAAATGTAGCACAAAAAAAGACAAAAACATCAATCATGGTGGTAGCTAAGAGTTAGCCCACAGTCAGTTACAAAATAAATATTGAAAAGTATCCTGAGATGACATCTGTAACATAGTGTAAGTATAGTATAGTATAGTGTTTCTCGGGGGCAAAAAGAAAAGCCCCTGTGCAAATAAATGTCCTACACTGATGGTCATAAAAAAATATCTTATGGCACGTACAAACAATGCAAGTGCTATGGAAAAAAACACAGGGACAGTTTGTGGGTTTGCTATTAGCAGGCTACGTAGCAACAATACTCATGATGGTAGTGTGCTAAAATAAGTGTTTGGGAAGGGTTCATTACCCGCAAAATAAAATGTATACGTCAGGTGACTTGATCCCCTAACACAGGGGTTCCCAACCCCCGGTCCGGAGACCAGTGCTGGTCCGTAGGTCATCTGTTACTGGGCCGTAGTGGGACACAGTGTAAAACCGTACTTAGATTTAACTAGCTGGGCCGTAGTGGGACACAGTGTAAAAACGTACTTAGGTTTAACTAGTTTACTTCATTCAAAAAGAATCCAGTCATATCCTGGTCAGCTAATACCAGCCGACCGCTCCTTGGTACTAAAGAGGTTGGGGACCGCTGCCCTGACGAACATAAATCGCTGGTCTGGTGCCTACACTGAATGTTGTTGGTAGTGGACTACACTGATACATTTAAAGGCCTCAACGTTTTGTGGTTTTTGACACACATTTCAATATTTGCCACAATTTTGCCAGAAAACAAAAACTTGAGAAGACTATGAAAATAATCACTGGTTGCAGCACTACTCTTATGAGGTATTATGTTAAGTTAAATATGTTCTAACTGAAAGACAACCTCTGCGGTTTGAAACACATGCTCCTGGTGTGCTGTCTAAGCTGATACTGATTTCTTATAGTGTTGGTTTCTGTCACACAGCCATTTGGTGTCAGTGTTCATCTTTGTAATCTGCCATTTTGCACCAGCCAATAGAGACGTTGTTTACTCTCTGAGTGACCGGTGGCAGCAAACGCATATTTAATTTACACTTGGTTTAAAAGAAGAGTCCATTCTTATTGCCATGATGGAAAAGTCATTATGCAGGAGATCCACGGAGTCCTGCAGGAGGACAGAGGTGTGTCACAGTGTTGTCTGATCCAAAATCACCCATTACAGTCAACAGAGTCTGTCCATGCTGTGGATTCAGCCCTTCATCGTGTAGCTCTTTTCTCCAAATGTTTGTGACCAGCCTCTGCCTTTGTTTCTTTCAATCACGTGTTCTTGTATCTCAACAATGTCCGGCCATCTTTAGGTCACATGACGGTGCAGCGGGACTTGCGTAGCTTGCGTCGCCGCTGCTGGTACTCACTGAGCTCCTGCAGGTAGCCTCTGGACGGCCAGCGTAGCCGCTCCACTTGCTCACACTCCTCATCTGAAAAAACAAAACAAAATCTGTCTTTAGATTCGATTTGCTCCCAGGTTGTGTCCACTTTCTAAATAAAAATGTATGACACTAATAAGAGAACTCCCAGCTTCAGGAATAAATTAGAGCTTTATTATAAAATCATCACACAAGCACAGACACAACAGATGACACAAATAAATGTATATTAAACATTAAACACTAGGAAGTGACAGGAAGATTGCATAGAAGGGCCTTAAAGGCCTTGAACTGCCAGTGCAGTTCTTCTTCTTGCTCCTTGTTGACACCTGAAACACCTGATACCCATCAGGGGGTGAAACTGCTGTTGTCGGTTGGGCCATCAGAAACCAATCAGCAATCTCAAAGTAAGACAAAAAGATTAGAAGGGAACAAGCTACTGGGAATTGTGAAGGTGGATGTGGAGATGGTTGGTGTAACAGTAGGCAAAACAAGAGCTGAGGAGACATCTGAGCAGGGAGGGGATGAAGGGATGATCAGGTTGTCAGTGTTTCCTGACTGTCTTACTGTTTGCGGATGCAGCTAAATTGAATGGCAAGTTTGGACATCTAAGGTGGAGCTGTCTGCTCTCATTGTGATATTTCTAAATAAATCTTTTCATGTTGTCGCAGGTTGAATTAGTGGAAACCCTGAAGCTAATATTCATAGAAGTGTCGAGAAAAACAAGGCGCTTGCGTAATCATTACAAACATTTCCCAGAGCTGCCCACACTGACCTGACAGCTCCAGGAAGTCATGTTTGTGACTGAAGATTAGGTAGTTGTTGGCGATAAAGTGCAGTAGCCAGACGTACAGCTGCTCAGCGTTGTGGCACTGAGAACAGACATGCAAATGTTCTAGTTAGAATGCTGGGACAGATGATGTTAGCATGTTATCATCAAAATATAATTTCTTTTAAGGCAAATTTCCATTAGCACAATGTACCTTCTTCATCAAAAAATATCCAGTTAACCAATTTTTTGTTTTTATGTTAGCTTTCATACCATGGTGTTATATATTTCACAATTTAGTTATACAGTACAGTACAGTAGCTCTTTTTACTAGTATTTCTAGATTAAAATATAATTCTGGGAAATAACTATAGCAGCAAACCTGAAATTACATGAAATTATATTCAACTGTCTGCTTAAGGTTAGCTTTTGCAAATGTTAGGTCAATTTCGTTGTATTCTGATTGACTTTTTTTGTGTGGAAACAACTCAACCTTTATGTGATTTAAACACTTTTCCATGCTATCATTTATGTGACATCATTGAATTATTGTCCTTTAGGAAATATCCACGAGTAATAATAATGAAAAAAACAATTGTACTGACCTTTGCCTTGCGGAGGAGCCGTACAACGCTCAGTCCCGTGGAGGCCAGCTCTCGGCTGGGCATGCTTTGAAGATAAGCACACACACACACCTCACAAAGGTGCTGCAGACGTTTCACCTGGTACATTTCTGCACACATCAGCACTGACATGGCCTGCAGCACACTGGCTGGACACACAAACAGAAAAAAAATACACAACTTTGCCTGATGTACCAGATACACACCACAGTTACAAACCAACAGACAGACAGACAGGCAGACAGACAGAAAGATAGATAGATAGATAGATAGATAGACAGACAGATAGATAGACTTCAACCTTCACTTCTTGGCTCTTATATAACATTGCAGCCCTTAGCTGTTTCATTTTGTCGTTTTGTACGTCATCCTACAGCTGTGTCTCAACGTAAACTGCTTAGTTTTTTTATTTTTTATTTTGTGCTTAACTTGCATCTTATTATAAAACAGAGGACATGTATGCAGTACACTCACCAGGGCAGCAGGAGTCAGTGTAGAGGTACTCCAGGAAAGACAGGAAGGTATCCGAGGAGACTCCGTGAATCGGCACCACTCTGCTTCTGGCTTCTGCATATTTACCGCTGAACATGGCTGCCATTACGTCACAGCGCGCCACAAGAACCGCCCGGTGTGCTGGCAGGACGCTCCCTGTGACACAGACACGGTTTACAGCGCCGTGTCAGAGAGGTAAGCAACTGTTGCTTCCATACTGTTTCAAAAGTTGAATTGCCAGCACACTGTTGTGTCGTTTGTTGGTGTTTTCATCAACAGCAGGGATTTATATGACTTTCTGTGAAGGTAATTTTTGGTACTTTCCATGTGTCTGTTACTGTTATATGTGAATTCCCCCAGTGTGGGATTCACGGGGTCTCACCTTCTCATGTAGCAGCTTGTATCATGAAAACAGTTAATTCAATTGTTTGATTGGATAATCAATTAAGTTGGCAACTAGTTAGTATAAAATCAACTAGCAATATAATCTAGGACATAAAAACAAACTGGGAGCCATAATGAAGGAGAAAGAAGTTCCCAAAAATCAAATCTAGCTAATGTTCCTCAATGTACATATGGAAGGAATTTTAGGGATTTCAAAAGATTTGGAAAACCAAGAAACGTCTGCACTTGTGCTGCAAAGATGGAGAACCACGACTGAAGGATCTTAGCACTCTAACTACAGAAAACTATTATTAGCCACACAGGTTTTTATAACCACAAAGTTCAAGAGTCAGCAATCTGAATCTAATCAGCTGTTTGGCCAGTGGATTTATAAACCATCTCAATAAACCTGGTAAGGTGAAAATAATTCATTTTTCTGGCAGTCCAGCTCAAGCTAAACATTAACAACATCGCCCACCTTGAACCATAAAGATGACATCTGAGTAAAGGGGAGAGTTGAAGAGGTTGACCAGGGTCTGAGGACCAAGTTGAGTCGCCCGTGCACTCGGTGTATCCTTTGAAGCCTGCGCATACACACACACACAAAACAAAAAAAACACTGACATTCGACATTCAACTGGAGGCCGAGTGCTAGGCACAAGGAGATTACAATTCTGTGCATCTCCCTCAGCTTGCCTGGAGAATACCAATGGCCTCTATGACAGTCTGGTTTATTGCTATCAAACATCACTGAATTCCAAAGCCAAGAAACTGGTTCAGTCTGGCAGAAGACCAAGTGACAGACACTTGTCTGAACAGACTGATTTTTCCCTCTCACTCCTGCCATTTTAAAGCTTCTCAGAAAAGAGTGTGTGCAGCTCATGCACGACATGCTGGAGAACATAACAGTGATCCAAATATGTGTAACAAAACCCTGACAATGTCAGCTTTGCATAAACTCACCCTGTCTCTTCCGACAAGATACTGTATGCGCTCCATAAGCTGAGCCACTGCCAGTGAATTCTTCAGCTTCTCGTCCAGCGCCACCTGCAGATGCTCCCACTCCCACGCTCCTTCAAACAGCCGCAAGAACAGATTACTTGGAGCTTCAAAAGAGCCACAGACAGAAACAAACACCGAAGCACTGACCGCCCACAACACACTAATCTATACAGTGGCTGCTTTGAGAAACTTGGTGAAAAAGCTACCACACAATCAAAAGTAAAGTCAAAAATAGCTAGAAAATCAGCTAACAAACAATAGCTGTGAATAGCACTGGCAGATACAAGAGAAAAATCAAACATTGCTAAACGTCAACCACTAGTATAGCAAAGCAACTTAAAGCAAATAAACAAAAGCAATCTAAAATCATTTAAAAAAAATTAAGAAATATTTAGAAAATGTAATAAAAAACATAGAAAATATGGCTATAGATAAATATTTTATAAAGATACATTGCTAATATTTAGCTGAAAAACAAATATAACTTATCCAAAAAGTCATCAGGAAAATACCAAAATTGTTAAGGTAAGACAAACATTTAAAAAATATTTTACCACAAATACTAACAATCTGCTAATATACAAGCTGAAGGTTTTTATAGATTTTTTTTACAGAATTATTTTCATTGAATAGAAACTGCGTGGTTTGTAGTTTACAGACTTTACCTCGGTAAATAAACATAAGTGTCTCCCACAGGCACATACACAGGAGGGGGTCTTTCACAACTAGACGTGAGAGTCGTCCTGCCGGGTGCCCGTCAGATCTTGGAAGATCATCAATAATGCTCCCGTCCCAAGTGGAGAGCAGAGAATGGGGTCCTCCGTCCCGCTCCCTGCAGACACATCGTGACTGTGGACGTTCCCTGGCCAATTAGAAATGACACACAGCGCAAACAGAGACTGGCTTACAGATGTGACTTCTGCTGCCTCCAGACTGAAGTGGAAATATTAGACTCTTTAGAGTCTGACCTGCACAGGTTCTAATGTCACTCTAACCTGGTCTTGGGACCCAGGAGAAGCTGTCTGAAATATGGGCTGACAGCACACAGCACACATGCATGGGCCCACCCAAGTTCTTTTCCAGAGTCTCCAGCGTAGAAAGCCACATCAGCGAACTGCAAGCCACGCTCCAACAACCACTGCATGTCTTGGGAGAAGCTGGACTCTTCCACACGAATCGGAGGAAGACGTGCTGTATGGACAGACAGATAAATGGAGTGATAACAAAGAAAACAAAAAAAGGAAGATTAAAATTGAAAGTGTGATTACCAACCCAGCCAGTGTGTGGGTTTACTTGATCTGTACCAGAATTAAACAGACACGAGGATTGCACATACCTTTAGAGACTTGGGGGAATCACATGGAATCATCTGCATCTGGCCTGAACTTTTTAGCCTGGTCTCACATTCAAATGTTGACTGACAACTACTTCATCTTTGATTGTCTCCAAAAAGCAAAGATAACCCACAATTCTTTCAAGACCAAAGCTGTTGCAGTGCAGGTGTGTTGCTGGAGGTCATAGGTCAACAACCTTTTTGAACCTGAGACCTCCTTCAAAGGCGCTTAGTAAAAGAGAGTTTCTTGTTTGATACAGACTTCCCGAACAATGTAATAATTAATCAGAAAACTAACGCTGCTCTGTCAAGTTCTGGGACATACGACAGCAGACATTCTGCTTGTCCAGACAAGCATGCTGAAACGCTTAGAACTTAAAACTGAACTGATCAACTGAACAAAAACAATATAAACTAGCATTCAGAAAAAAACATGGACAGTACAGAGTACTTTTCTGACCTGGTTGTTCTAGGTGAGGGGGACGAAGCTCGTTCACTTTGTTTCCTCGCCGCTTTTCTGGCTTCTCCTTGGCCTTATGTTTCAGACACTGGATCATGAAGTACTCCAACTGAATGACAGAAACACAAACAACATTGTATAACATTGTATATAACATGTATAACACAAAAATAGCTTTGCTCTAAAGACATCTTTTAAAAAGCACTTAGACTCTAAGACTTGTAATCAATGCTCTTGTGTGTACATCCTCACACAGTGCTATACCCAGAAGTCAGTTTTATTTACATTTGCTGGTTGTATGCAATACATTGGGTTGTGCTACATTCACTTTCTTTGGTATCTGTTGTTTTTTTGGGAACTTTTTAGCTTTCATAAAGGCTTCCAGGAGTAAGTCAGACTCTTCTGCTGTTTTTATGTCCCAGATTCTGATGTTACCACTGTGTTAGGGTAGGTGAGTCCCATATTGTACTGTACTGTATATGTCTGAGTTAGTACCTCATGACTAGTCTAATGTAATACAATATAGTCACTGACTGACTATCAAGACACTAAAATATGAAGAATTCAAAAACGAATATCAAGTGGATAGAAAAATTGCTCACTCACCAAAATTGCTGAATCGGAGGTATACCCTAAGCTTATATTCACAGTAAGACAGTTATTCTCAAGTATGTTTTCAGAATATTCTTCCTTATCATGAATACAGGGAAAAGAAGAACCCAAACTGACTCTCCTCATTTATATTTATATTAATGGTTATTGGTGACATCTGACATACCTAATGATTTATGGTAACAGGTCCACACTCTTACTTCATTATTACTTACCACACTGCCAAAGTAACGGCCCACAAAAACATGGTTGAGGGATGGCAGCTCCAGGTAGGTAGCCCCGAGGTCCCGGGACAGCTGCAGACCTTCACTGTGAGGAACACAGCTGCTCCAGTCTGAGGCACACAACGGACATGTACAGGGAGGACCCTCATCTAAAAACAGAGGTATTTCAAAATGCTCACGCCCTTGAATCTAGATGGAAGCTCAAAGAAGGCATATTAGAAGTAAGGCATTCGTCAGTGATGTAAAACAGTGTTGAGATTAACCTACTGTACCACCAATCCACACTGAAATGTCACAAACATGACATCTAACCATAAAGAAGTTTGTTGTTTGGTGTCTATATCACTATATCAATACCCAAGAATCGATATTCCCATCTGAGGATCTGAGGTCTTCATTATTTAACTGTGATGTGCGGCCAGATTGGTTGATGTTCATGTCTGTTCTCACACGTGTAGGGCCGATAACTAACAGTATCCTCTGGGATACTGGAGAATTGGCTTCACTTAGCACACAACAAACACGTCCAGTTTAATTGAGGTGAACCTCTTTAAGACAGTTAGGGCGTCTCATTTGCCATTTTGTGGCAATCAGACTTATAGCTTTGATCAAACTTTGCAAAAAGGAAAAATGTATCTGTCCACTCCTTACAACTCTTGTCATTACTGTCAACGTTTAGTTTTGCAGGAGGGATTCAACTCAGTGGTTCTGTAGCGCAACAGACCTTTCCAGCAGGCTGGAAATAAAATTATAAGACCTACAAAAAGTGGATAAAATAAAGTTAGCTGAAAAGATTAAATCTATTTGACTTCTGCAGCCAAAATGTGTTTACCAGAAAATCACATCTAGAACCAGCCAGAAGGACAGAGGTACTTTAAGGACACACTGGAGGACATAAGACTCAGACAGCAGACTTAGATTACACCATCTATCACCACTATCAAAAAGATATGGTCAACCCCAAAAAAATCCACAGATGAGTTCACAGCAAATGGGGTAAAACCTGATCAGTGGCTCAAAAAAGAAGACTCTTGACCTGAAGAGCTGTTGTCAAACTGCTGCTGAATAAACGTAGAAAGAGCAAAACAATAAAAGCCACCTCACCGTTCCGCCGTGCTCCAACAGCAACTAGGATGACTGGTACACCCCAGTGCCTCAGCAGGGGGCGCAGTCTAGGAGCGTAGCCATTCCTGACCTGCTGGAAGGCCAACTTGTCTGTGACCGAGTACTTGATGACTAGGATGTCTGCCTGTTCAAGTACCTTCCGTACACTGGCCCAGTCACTGTCCAGCAACTCCTAGCAAGGGAGAAATAAAGGCCAACAAATGGCAGACAGTTGCTTTTTTTTTATCTAAAGCTTAATTCCATAGCAGTTTATTATTAGCAGTTATAAATAGAGGTCAAACTCTTTACAATCACTTCACCAAATAGACATTGATTTGTATGTCTTATTATATGTAGTTTATATAAATATACAATGTACTGTATGAATATGATGTCAACAAATATACTCATTAAACGTGTAATAAAATTTTTGGAGAAATCATAGGAAATCTTCAAAAAGTTCACAAAGTTTTGTTTATTTTGAGGTAGTTTTTCAAACTATAGCGATGGTTTCATAGGGTTAAGGATCGTCACATTATCTCTTCAATCAGCCAATCATAAGTCTCTTACCCAGCTGGGACAATCACGAACCACTACAGCGACGTCTCCAAACACCTGTGTGGTGTACTCCATGAAAGCAGGGTTGTTCAGGCTGTTCTCCAGGTCGCAACCTCCGACTGGTGCTCCATGTCCCAGGTAGCTCCACAGCAGGCCTCCTTGCAGTTGTCCCTGGCCTATGACCTCTTCACCTGGCCCAACTTCTCTAGGACATTCGCTGCCAAGAGCCACAATGTGGATGGACCTCCAAGCCATGCAGAGAAGGGTTGAAGGTGAAAGTTTTTTTTGTATTTGTCCACTTATGGATTAGAAACAAATGTAGTGTGAGTGTGACCATACAATTAACACAATAGATGGAAATATGTAACATAGAACTAGAAAAGATAAACGTCTCCTTATTGTATCAGGAATTTGTGTATCATGGAGTTCCAAAACCACATCTCCACATCTCCAGGCCTAATGGTTCTGCCATTGGCTCTGGTTGTTTTGAACAAGATTAGATTTATAAGTGAGTTATAATTAGCACAATGTACTTGTTACACAGGGTATCACAACAGAGCTTTAGTACCCCCTGTAGGAGAGTAGAGAGGTAAACCAGTGTGGGGCTTATTGATGTTCTCTTGGCTTTTCTCTTTGTTGTATTGCTCTAATACTCTGTAATGATGTCGGTGCCTAAGGAGCCTTGATGAGGCATGACTACTTTAACTACAGACCACCACGATTTAGATGCCAGTTAATGGGATTGGCTACTCTATGTAATACATTGAAATTGGAGGAAAAAGCCTTCTCATACTGTAAAGAAACACTGCAAATATAACTGCAGCAAACATGGGTTTTATGTAACTTCATGTGGTGTTAAAATAAGTATTTTAATGACAGAACCATACACTGTACCTACCTTAGGTGGACGTAGGAGCCATGTCTACTTCTTTTATTTCATTTATATATTACATATTGCATTTTTTTGATCATGGACATTCTACCAGACGGAGCACTGCTGGTGTGGGGAAAGTGGCCCTCCCAGGTTTACACCACCTTAACCCCCCAATTACAGCAGTCAAGGTCCAGATGTGAGCACCACAGAAGTGTGCTAAGGCCACATGGGTACACGGTGGGGGGTATTGTGTGGGCCACAAATGGATGCCACTTGTTATTATTTAATGGCGTGCCCCCCCACATCAGGAACGATCCTTCAGGTTCCTACTTCACCACACAGGTCCAACATACACATCCGGGCGGACTAACGTGTCTCTTACGGCTGTTGTTAAAGCACTGGTTGAACCGGTTCTGCTCCCGGTTCTGCTCTTAAGTCTCAATAAATGAATCACTGGCAGAAAATGATCAATCACAGCACGTTTCCCTCTGTCATCCCATAATGAGTTGAAGCAGTGGATAAACTTACATGGTGGTGGCGGCTGCTCGCTGCTGTACAGACACCGATTCCCTCAATCTGCAGACTCTGCTTTTCCGCAATGAGCCGCCGCTTCGCTCCGCCGTTAATCTTCCTCATCAGCGGTTTAACCGGCGGTAGTCCGACTGTAGGACACCGTCACAGTCACTCGCATTTGTCCTCTCCATCCTCTCTCCCTATTCATTCATAAATGCGGGGGCAGACAGCGTCCCGAAGCCACCGCAGAGGCACAAGCGCACCGGACGATCCAGGCGGTGGAGCAGCAGCAGCAGCAACAACAACATGAGCGGAATATGCGCTAAGACACGAACAACTTATCTGATTCCAATGACTCGAATTCGGGCATTTAGTCAAAAACACGAGTCTGCAGGAGAGGACAGTCAGGAGAGGACAGTCCGGAGAGGACAGGACACAGTGCTGACCACAGTACGAGAGCAGGAGAAGGTGAATGACGTCTGCGGATAAAAGAAGTGTCAGTAGCAAGGAGCAAGTACCGAGAGAGAGTGGGGGGTGGTGGGGTGGGGGGTGATAGGACAGCGAGAGAAGGAGGATGAGCGGGGAGACAGTGGGGGGGGGGGAGGAGGAGGGGGGGAGAGAGGGGGGGGGGGGGGGGGGGGATTTGCCCCGACCTTCATTTATTAGACAAAGGGACAAAAACCTGATTTTAGGTCTTTTATCAGCAAAGCTGCCTCTCATTATTCAAGCGTTTAATAATAAATACTGGTACTAATCAAAAGACAAGACAAGGACGAGGTAACCATTGCGCCACATCCCCTTTTCTTTCTTTATTTTACCTGTTTTACTTTTTATTCTATTTTGCAACATAAACATGAGCTGCTCAGCAGTTTGTCAGTGGATCACCAACTTCCTGACTGACAGAGCACAACAGGTGAGGCTGGGAAAGTCACAGTCATTATTAGTTCTGTCATCACCGGTGTCCCACAGGGCTGTGGTGTAGATCAGAGTCACAGGAGACTGTGGCTGAAGCAGAGCAGCAGCATCACACAGTCTGTGTTTACCCTGACACACTGACCTGACCTGACGTGACCTTCTGCAGCGAACCATCTGCTCCTTATGACTTCAGCCTTGCATCAAGACTTGTGTTGTCATCACATAATCACATCTGAATACTAAATGTGTGACTCAGCCCCAACGTTGCATGTAACCTCTGTGTAGTACAACAAATGACAAACAAATAACACCATCTGCGGCCTCTGCTCTGATGGGGCTCGTGGTTCATCCTTGTTGTGGAGGTCAGTGGTGAACAGAGCAGTAAGAATGTAGGTGAACTGAATTGAACTTGGCCCCACATGACCAACAATGTTTAAAAAGAACAGAATGTCACAGAAACACGTTTTACAAATGAAAACACCTTTGTTCAAATAACATATCAAACATTTTCATTTAATTCTTCTTAAAAACACAAAAGGAAAAAAATAATTAGCCAACTACATAACTGTGTTAACCCTCGTGTGTGTGTGTGTGTGTGCGCGTGTGATTATTCCTGTACTGCAACTTTTTCTCGTACTCTGATTCTGGGACAAGATGCAAACCTGTTGCAAGGACACTGTGTGTGTCCAAGGGACAATGAATAGATCTTAATGTCTTCACTGAGAAACTTTGCAACATTGGCATCACGTGCCATTTAAACTGGCAAAAACTTCAACGGATTCATGCACTTACAGTTGATTTTGGTGTAATTTATTTATTATTAGACTAAAGGCAAATAATGGAAATGCCAAGTACATATTTGAGGGTTTTCTTTTTTAACCTTCCTCCTTGTCCTTCGCATTTTGTGTGAGGACAGTTTGAATACAGTTCAAAGAACCATGAACATGAATATGACGCTGTTTATATCCATTTGTTTTAACTGTGATAAATAAACATTCAAGCAGCTCAGCCACAATCTCAACATAACATCAAAAAGATTAACATTTTTAAATCACCACTGGAAAATAATCTGTGAATTTCTACTATCAGGATTCGCTCTTCTCCTCATCTGTGGCAGCAATGGCTCTTGTCCTTTTGCCCTTTTCACCCTGGTAATAATCGGACTCGAGCCAGCCGGGCTCCGTGGACAGCTTGACGTAGATATCACCGTTGATCTCAGTTACCAGGTGTGTCCTCTGCTTCACACCTTTGGAGTACCATCTGGGTAGAGCCGAGTCCTGCGAGGGGTCCTTGGCCTTGGACAAACACTCACCTTTGGCCAAGGAGATCTTGTATTTGTGTTTAGGACAAATGATGCACAGCTTGCCATCAAATTCCTATAGGTTTAGGAAGTTGAAGTAAAGTGGACATGAGGTGATAAAGCAAGGAAGCTGGGCAACCTGGCAGAAACGGATTCAAATTATACTAATATTCTGAAGCTTTGATGTCCTCACTTATGTTCAAACATTTTTGATGTTTCAGAGCATTAGCAGCTGGGTCTGTTTTTATCACAAAATCTTCAAACTTCTTAGTTACCTTTGAGCCCTTTAATTATATTTTCCAACAGTTTCACATCTCATTCTGGCTAATTAGAACAAAGCTTGCAATTAAAATTTGTGGGATGTTACATCTGATGTTATATCTACTTTTTAGTCTTCATTTTTATTTTTTGTTCATTAATTTGTTTTGTTGTTTAATGGAGTTATTAACTTTACGAATTGATCATACGTTAACAAACGTCACTCAAAGCAGCAGGTCATACAGTAGTTATACATAGTACAGATATTGCAAAATGATTGAACATAAAACCCTTGTTCAAGAAATCCCAGCAGTGAGGTCTTGTCTTCTGAATCTTGATCATTCACTCTGAACCCATCTCTTCACAATGCACTAGTTTGGTTTTTGCATTTTTAACTTTGGACGTGATCATATTCTCCTTAGTCAGGTTTAAACCTTACCTCAATGTCTCCATGGTCCAGCTTTCCTCCAGCATCTGCTAAGGCAGAGGAAGAACCGTGTGTGTTACTGTTCACAGAGCTTTGATTTTGTTACAGTGATACTTTTGTACTTTTTCATAGCTATTTAATTGAAGTCTTTTTAGCCAATGGCTCGGAAATGGTGGCTCTTTCTATGTAGTGAGGTGAGAGTAATAACCTCGATTATTCTTCATAAAATGCATGATGAAGTAAAATTGTGATATGATTATATTTATTCATTTTCTCTCTTTTTGGGTTAAGCATTGTAAGGCACTGTACTCACGATAGCAGTAAGAATCTAAAGCATAGAAGACCCCCTCATGGGAAACGATCAGAACATCCCGGTCCTCCAGTGTTCTAAAAGAGCGCTTTGCTGCAACCAGATCATCTTTTTTGCCAACAAAGTGAAGTCCTCCTGTTGGCTGTTCCTTCTCCATTGTACAGTAGTTCTGCAGTAAAGGAAGAAGTGGCATCATGTGTGGGTTGCTGAGCCTCATAGTATGAATTTACCCATTGTGGGATGAATAAGAAAAAAATAATTAAATAAATAAATATAAATCTAATAAATATAAATCTATAAAGACACCAAATACTTGATGTCATTATAGATGAGGACAACACAGGTATACATACCTGGATTTACCTTGAGAATGTGAGTTTACGATTCCTCACACACCATGTATTCCTTTGTCAGGGCAAACATCTACTGACGGACGAAAGAGAAGCAAAAAAGAGGTGAGGTGGGTCATCTGTGCTATCTTCACAGACACACACTTATCTGACTCTGGCAGACGTAACAGCTATTTCATTAAGAGGAAAATGTTAAGTATCTCTGACAAGAAATTGTTTTAGTTTGAATTGATTGAATGTTAGCTGATGTGTATTTAGAAATGTTTTAATTCGAATAATAATTTTATTAGAACTTATTTGATTTGTAATTTGTTACTTTTTAAGAAGTTGGAAAATACAGTAAGCTAAAATGTTTGTGATTTGCACTAAATTTGTATGAATTACTCCAAAGCCCCTAGGCAAGTATAAATTAAGATAGACTTTAATTAATCCCACACTGGGGGAAATTATTGTAATGAAAAAAAATAGTTTGAGTATTTGTAACTGACACATGCTGCCTCACAGGGCGCGCCCTACTATGAAATACTGTGAAATAGAGACATATTCATGCTTGAACAGCCCTGCTCGCAGAAGCCACCTTTTGGTGCAGTAGGAAAATATCATAAAGATTATCTACAAATAAAGAATTGAGAAAAATAAATAGTGATTTTATACTGTAAAATTCAGTAGATAATTGGTATTTTATTTAAAAAGAAACCAGGTTCCGGAACGCTTTAGACAGAAAACCTATCGGACGTATTTCTGTGATGCGCACCTCAATCCTATGTGGACACTGAATGTGAGTTTGTGACGCTTTGCATTTGCTCTACAAACATTGGTGAATGTTTTATTATATTAAAATGCTAACTGCAGGCTTCTTGTATAACAAAAGAATAGATACTCAACCCACCAAAGTAACCGACTGCTGTTAATGTCAAATGTTTAAACGGCGAAGGGAATATATGCTAAGCTATCATGCTTTAACACTGTCTGAATTTAGGTCCGTGGTATCGTTATTTGCAAAGGCTGTTTTATTTTGGAAATTATGGATTATTTTAGACAGTAACAGAAAATACAGGATTTTTTAACACGGCTATTTACTGACTGTTAAAACTTATTGCATTTAATGCACATATTGGACAGCAAATTTACCTTTGTCTTGATTTACCTTCCTGTTGAACTTCCCTTTAAATAACCTTGAAAGCAAAATACAGAATCTAAATAAATGTATTAAAATATTTAAAATATACGTAAGATAAATACAAAACAGAACAACAAAAAAGGTAATATTATGTTTAATAATACAACAGTACTTAAACTTGTACCTAGTCCCCATTATAAAAAGCTCACCCACATTTTATGTTCCTATATTATGGTTCTCTACCATTAACTGTATCTGTGTGCATTACAGTAGACAGGGAGATGGCACTGCGGGCTTGTGGTTTTATAATCTTTAGACGCCTCACTGGCTGTGTTCCTCCACCAGACAACATTGAGTACCTGCTACTGCAGACCTCATATGGAGAACACCACTGGACACCACCCAAAGGTAGTAATACAAATTTAGCCATTTTGATGACATGTTGTTTATTACAATTTATTTGTTGTTAAACTAAACAAAATTCTTTATTAATCAAGAAAAAAATGAAACAAAGTAAAATGGAAAAAACAAAAAGTTTTTTTTTTATTTCTCACTGTTTTACTCACAGGTCATGTAGACCCAGGTGAAGATGACCTCACCACAGCCCTGAGAGAGACAGAAGAGGAGGCAGGGCTGAAGGCAGAGCACTTGGGGATAATTGACAACTTTGTATGGAATTTGAACTACGAGGTACGAGGCAAACCCAAGCAGGTATTGTACTGGCTGGCCGAACTCAAAGACCCAGGTACTTCGGTGACTCTGTCCGATGAGCACCAGGACTATCGCTGGGCCGGGCTGGAGGAAGCCTGCAGTCTGGCCCAGTACCAGAGCCTGCAGGACACACTGAGAGCTGCCCACGGACACTTACAGATTCAAAAGGACAAAAAGTGAGCAGATGGAAAGGTAAAGGAAACCTGATTGTCTTAAGAACAATATATCTATTAGGTCGAAAATGACTACCCTGTCATGGCACACGCTGCTATGATTGAGGGAATTAGGCTTATATGGTATATAGAATTATCCAGGTGGAATCTTTAGGTTCAGAGGTCAAACTTGTAGCTTTAAGCTGTCAGTTTCTACACAGTTGTAAACAGTTCTGTCTGTCTTCTCATACCTGGGTGGTACCTGGAGCAAATAAAAACCTGTGCAATACAGACATTTAAAGTGGTGGTGAATTGTGACATTCAATTGTGTCATGTTACCTAACTAAGACCCATCCTCTGACCAGTGTTAAAAAACACAAGTTCAAGAACTCTAGAGTTTTGAATTAGTGTATTTAAACACTGTTTACTGTGTACAGCTCCCTCTCCTCCCCAACTTTGGTGTTGTTTAAATCTGTTTTGCTCATGACATTCGAAAAGGTGTTCACTGCTGGGTTGAGGAACTTTAGTAGACATTCATTTAAATTGGCAATGGTAACCTCCAATTATTGTAAATCTGCCAGGCTCTGAAAGGTCTGTACCCACCATTCACCAACACCATGAACACATCAATTGAATATTCAAATAGTTTATGATGCTAAACACTACTAGTACTATTCAAAGTGAAAAAAAACACAACTTTTTTTCTGATCAGTCTAATGTTCTAGAGACTTGAGATTCTACTTAAAGACAGAAGTCAAGGAGGCGACGCTAAGAGAAGGTCCTTGATTTTAATTGCCCCAAAACATCTCAAGTTGCTCAAGGAAATTATAAGGAAGGTAATGTCATCCAATCATCTTATATAAAAAAATAGGCCAAACAGCAAAGTGTCTTCTCTCCAGATACTCTAAACCATCTGAGACCATAAAAGCAACATGCCAATGAAGACAGAACTGCATTAAGAACGCATAAAAATGAAACAGCAAAACATGAAGACATTACGATGAGACCAAGTGGCTGTCAAACTCAAAGACCCGTCCTCAGTGGACACATAGTTTCCATCTTGTAATAAGTACAGTATATGTGGACACACTTATCTTCTCCTTGTGCAATAGCTGTTATAAAGTTTCATTCCATTGTCGCAACTCAATGTTGTCCGTGCATTAGCGCGGTCCTGCTGCACAGTTCAAAAATATAAATTGATTGCCAAAGTCAAGAAAAACTGTAGAGGATCCGGGTGAGAAGTAAAGTCCAGCTTGAGCTTGTGAGACACACGCCACTTGCTGGCACTTTCAGACATTCAGGAAATGTTTTATGTTTCATGTAAGTCAAAGGCTACCTCCCTAAGCTGTAATCAAGGTAATTAGTAGAAACACCAAATCAAAATTTCATAATTAAAAACTGCCTTCAATGGAAAACAATAATTACTTGTTATGTACATTAACAAGGCAATGTTTTGGGTCACTAACACACTGGACATGGTCTTAATGCGTCATGGTTTAAATGCATAGGCATTATTCATAAGTCGGTCAGACCTTAGCAATTATCACAGTTGATTTATAGATATGAGCTGGGTCCAAATAGATATTCTCCACATGCCTGAAATAAACTGCACAACAGAACAAGAGAACCCTGAAACGTCAATGGCAGCATTGTTATAAACTCCAGGATAACTTGGCATCGCTGCCAGTTTTTAGAGGGTACAAGCACAAGCCAAACTGTTAAATAGTAACACCAAGTTGTACAACACTTCAGGTAACAGGTAACCCAATCACAGTCGGTCAATTTATTGAAGAGCTGGACAATTAATAAAGTGACTGCTCTGTATTTGCACAAGGCCAGTTATTGCACTCTCTGTGCAATAACTGTAGCTCAAAGAAATATAGTCAATGAACTTCATGATTAAGATGAGTGACCCAATACTTTTGCCTTTATAATGTATGTTGAGAGAGAGAGAGAGAGAGAGAGATATTGTCTGACCAATTTATGACACTAGTTTGTAACTGATGGAACCGTCGTGGCAGTAGACTTTGACCCTAACGAGTGTGCAAATATGCACAAACAGACTAGACTGGCATACACACACGCAGGCAGTGAACACGTGCACATAAACACACGTACAGTTTTTGAGTATGACCTTGACGTCTCCTACCACAAAATGTCCAGAAAATCTGATCAAGCCATTCTCCAAAAAACAAACATGTACGTATAAAAATGTAACTGAACACATTGAGGGGGGAAAAAGGAGTTGTGGGTACGGTCGGGAAAGGTCTGATCCAGATCATCACAAATCTTCATTTCCAGAGTCATCCTGGTCGTCGTAGTGTCTGCCAGGCGTGCCATCATACTCCATCGCGCTAATCCCTCCTGCCTCGCCCACTGATTCCAGCTCACTATCGTCGTCCTCGTCCTCGTCCTCGTCCTCCTCCATGTCATATAGGTCATCGTAGAGGAGGTCTGAACTGCTGCCTTGGGATGGAACTCTGGTCTGAATGCAGTACTCTGCTAATGTGGTCGGCACTTTGACGCCATCTTGCTCTGCCTCAGCTGCTGTTGACAACACCTGCTTCCTGGGTAAAAATGTATCAACTCAATGTCAGTGTTTAAGATCTAATGTGTATACAATTAGACAACATTATATTGAATACAATGACAGTGGTTTTGTTTGTAAAAGGTTGGTGGTCATGTAAAATATCAATGGAATAAACTTGAGACTCCTAGGACAAACTTTATATAATAAAACAATGTACTATAGTGTTTGAATTATTCAGTTAAATTATCTTACAACAAAGTTTGCCTCTGACAAGTTTGTTGTACTGTTGGCTGCCTGGGCATCATAGTTTCATAAATCCAATAAAACTTAATGGGAGTACATGATGTATGTATGTATTTGGAGTAACTACAGCGGAGCTCCATCTGTACATCAACTCTTATTACCTGATGATTTCTGCGTACTCCTTGTCCTTGCCTTTGCTATCTCTCCATTTGCGAAACATAACAGAAGCGTCGACGTTTGCTGGAGAGAAGGTGTTGGGTTCGTTGAGCAGTGAGATAACACTAAGCAGGATAGTTCTGAAAGTAGACACACATTGACAAATCAAAATAAAGCCTGTGTTCTTTTCGTAATGTTACTGACTCACTTCCACAGCACAAAACTATAGACACCTTCATTGCATCTCCTGTTGATTACTACTAGTTTGATTACTGTGTTTTGAAGCCAGACAGCTCATGCTGAGCAACACCACAGTCTTACCCTATAACTTATTGTCAACTTCAGTAAGTTAATGTTGACGGAGGCAAATTTGAGAAGTGACTACAGATTTTCACAGTCTTGCCAAGGTGTGTAACATATGGTTACACAGGTGAAACAAACAGTATGCCTGTGTACCATATTTTTTTAAAGTATGTCAATGGGAAGGCAGAGTGGAACAAAGTCCAACTTTCACCTAAATGCAATTGTGATGGGACCCAATCACTGCTCACTAGAGTCAACATTTATATCATTTAATTGTAGGAAATTTAATTGACAGTGCAATATTGGTGTAAATATTGGCGTATCAATATTTTCCTACACTTTACACTACTTTGCAGTTGTGTTTATTTGGTAGAACAGACCTGATGTTCTGTGTGGGGTTCCACCTCTCTGAGGGCAGCTCTCCACTCTGAGGGTCGTCCACTGGGGGATGCAGGATAGAGATGCAAACATCTCCGTTCTGTAGAGAGAACACATTGACTTGAAATTACTATAAAATGTGTTATAAATTTGGTGTGATTTTTTTTTTCAGGAAATAACTGACATATGGGAACTAAAACAAAAAGTCTCACCTCATAAATGTTGGGGTGCCACATCTTTGTAAGAAAACGAAATGTTGGTGGAGAGTATGGGTAGTCCAGAGGAAACTTGACGTGAGCCTGGAGAAAAAAAATCGACATCAGCAGACTGTTTTCAATGTGATGCATGCCATTTATGAGTTTTTTTTTGTTCAGTAAGCACATTGTGTCAACAAGTTTGAGAATTTAGTAAAATCAAGGTGCTTTTTCACTTCTGCAGTACGATGCTTTGATATAGTAGTATGAGCTCTTCTGTTTGATATTGCTCACCTTAAAGTAGCCTCCCTGATACAGAGTGTTTGGCGGCCCAAAGATGGCCACTTCCCAGTTATAGAGGTCGGATTCCTCAACCAAAGTAATGCGAAAACCTTCCACTGGCTGTTCCTGCAGAGACTTCAGCTCCATCATCAAAGCCTTCTGGGAACTAGGGGTTACCTGGTGAGCCATGGCGATCCCACTCTGACATCAGTGGCCAAGAAGTGGTTAAGTGGTGAACATGGACAAAGTCAGAGGATAGGAGGAGTAGTAATAAAAAACATTGTTACATGAGAAATTCATGTTACATTCACGATTCTAATAGATTCAGCAATAACAATATGCAAATGAAACTTCCAGGCAAGTGTCAATAGCGTAGTGCGACCACAGGCAAACAACCGCCTGCAAGTTAATCATTTTACATTTAAGTTTAATAAACAAGTTTAAAAGACAAAAAGCTAGAAATATCTTTTCACCAAATCCAAAACAAATGGGGTTTTATTTATTTTGTAACATGTAGAAAACTCTGTGAAGACAAACTGATTTTTATCTATTTTATTACTGGATAAAGTCTACTTGTATCCTTAGTACATACATTCATAGAGAGGAAATAGGTTGAGCTTGTTGTTCATCAATAACAGGTTCTTCAGATGTAATAAAGAGACGATTCTAAAGTTCTACCCTGTGGCATGTAGCGTGTGAACGAAAATAGCTTTGACAATCCCGTCCTGCAGTTTTTTAAAGACCTATTTCAAAATCACAGTCACTCTACATCACTGAACACTACTGAAAACATCAGCTTACTGATGCCAATGCTCACATTAATGCCATCAAACCTGACGTCCTCTCATGTTTGTCCTCCAACTCACAGATCTATTTTTGCTGTTAATACAGTCTGAATTAACAAAACTTAAATCACGATTATATACCAAAAGTCTGTAAATATGTTATTTAGATCATGGTACTCTTGGGAAAATGATACAAGTACCAAACAAGACACTTCCTGTAACAGCCAAGGACTTCCAGTTTTGTCTCTTGGGACTCAACTCTATAGCTGTGGATGGCGCTGTCTAATTCTTGTATAGTATTTAATGAAACTGCCATTATACACTGCTAGTGGCAAATAAAAATGGCTGAATTGATTTATTTTGCATGATTCTTTTGATATATTTTAGAAACAGTCCTGAATTATCTACCCTTTCAGGCAAGAAGACGCAAACGTGTGAGAAGTGTTTACCTGTGTCTCTTTGCTGTGTGGTGTGAAGCTGGGATGTGAAGGCTAAGCTGACTTCATGTTAACCTGGCAGTGTGCCGAGGCTGACAGGAGGCTATGGCTGATGCTGTTGGGCTGCCTTCTCTTCAGTCCTTGTGTTGACAGTGGGCATGGAGCAGCTCTCAGTGGAAGTCACGGTGTCGTCAGGCTCTTTATGCTCCACAGAGGACAGACACCGCTCCTAACGTGTTTGTGTGTCTCTGTGTCTCTCTGTTGCTGTTTGTGTTTGTTTATCTGCCCTCTGCCGGTTTCAACTTCTCCACACGTCTTCTAAACCCCTGCCGAGCAGCTTGTCTATAAAAAAACACACCTCCTGTTCCTCTCTTTCTTTCTTTTGTCTGCTGTCAGGACAGCCCCCGACCAAGTCCGGTCTGTGATCGTTTTAAAAATCACTTACAGGTCTACACTTACAGAAAAAACTTGGATTTGATCGATTTTTATTTTTCCCTCATCGATGCTTCCGGCTATTACTGCGCCTATCTGAGGGACGTACAGCAGCACGTCTACAGCGTGCGCGCTCCCGAGATTATGAAACGGGCACTTTATACATAAAAATATAACTGCAAAACAAAATTGCAAAAAATGAAGTATACAACTGTATGTAGCTAGGGAAAACAAATTTTGTAAAATTCACAAATACGTTATACGTATTAACAGTTGTTTTTATTTGTAGGAGATGTTCTGTTTAAAAAACACTGTCAGTTCTAAGAAATCTGTTTGTCTGCTTTTTTCTTTTAAAATTTAGATATTTGAATATAAAATTCGGATGATAAAATACATTTATGTTTTTTTATATATATTAAGCTTCCTTTCAACATCTCTCTCCATAACATTGAGAATTAGGGGTAAATATGATTAGCTATAAAATCGTGTTTTTTAATTCATTGTAAGTTGATGGATAGAATCTCTGCAGCCTTCTAAATAACACCACTTTTATTTTGTTAGTCAAGAGAAATTAGTGAGGTAATTACAGAAGCATATTGCAGCCACACTGAGAAAAAAATGGGGGCTTAGTATCGCGTAATTAAGTGATAAGTTTTACGTTATTACGTGATAAGGTTTTTTTCTCAGTGTGGCAGCAATATGCTTCCGTAGGTAATAACCAGACACTTTCCCTGCTCAGTGTGGCAGCAATATGCTTCCATAGGTAATAACCAGACACTTTCCCTGTACACCTTGTAACAAAGCGTCAATCACAAATTCGAATTCCTTAGGCATGATAATGTTATAGAAAGTAACTATATGTAAAGCTGTAAGAAAGCTATGGAATATACTCAATACAATATATTATCTATGTATTATTAGCCCTACATAAAACACATATATGTGTGCTAGGAATCCATACTGGAATAAGAATTTAATCGGCCAGAAATAGGAAATAATTACATAAGTGTAACCTCGCGGAGAGTATTTAAATGCTAGCTACATTAGTGGTTGGTTTTTGTTTTGGATTTTTGAGGTGCTGGGTGAAGCTGAACAGTAGGGCTACATAATGAAGGTTTAAGAGAGTTCCATTAGGCAACTGGACACAAAATTTCCTCAAGAAGACGTTTCGCCTCTCATCTAAGAGGCTTCTTCAGTTCTAGAACTCTTCAACCTTGACCATGACCTGAATGACTGAGAATCTTCATAGACACTACATAATGAACATCATCTGCCATGAAGAGCTCAGCAATGTTGGTAAGAAAATTATCACATAATGTCCTTTAGTGTTATTCAAATTTTACTTCTGAGTATTTTGTGGCCTTGAAGTGGCTTTGATGTGATTCATGAATCAGTTAACGTGTTAAAATTGATCTTATTTCCATGTAACATAATCAATTTCCTTAATCTGAAAGCTGCATTAAACACTGTAAGCATATCAGGATGGAATAACCAAAATGTGGCACTTCAACTATTACAACATTAGTGTACCATTAGCACCAAGCTCCAACATATTGCCAAACTAAGGGCTATCTCAAAAACTCTTCAGTACATTGTGAAAGATGTACCATTACATGGACTTAATTTGAAAATGAGGTTGGTATTCTAAGAGTTGTGTCTCTTTATCTTCTCTGCAACTTAGTGTCATCTTAGCATCAACAGGCTGTAGATTTTTTTTAACTAGGTTTACTAGGTTAAATATTCCAGAACCATGAAAATATTTTTTTGGTCTATGTAGTTAACATAGCCTTAATTTGTTCTAACATCTTCCTTCTTCAGGGGCAAGTAGATCAGTGCATAGCTCAAATATTATATATATATATTTGTATATATACGTCTGTGTTAAACGTAAATACAATTGAAATTAAATGATATTACAAATTAGTTTTAATTTGGTTTGTTATTTGTGTTCTATTCATTTTTTTAATCTAATGCTGTAGATGTGGAGAGTTCTCAGTCACACAGCAGACAGTAGAGGTGCTTTCTCCTGACGTTACGGAGGGGAATGACGTCAGACAGGAAGCAGTGGAAAGGGAACTTGACAAATCAAGATGGCCGCCCACGGCCAAGCCGGAGAGAGACTTCAAAATAAATAAAAGTTGTTGTGTGAACAGTCGTACTTGAGTGCCATTTTGACACGACGTCACCTGGATTTTGGTAAACAACGACATAGCAGATCCAGGTAAGAGGACACAACATACATTTAGGTTTAATAACACTGGGAATGCGCGTTGTTTCAGGGGCGGTGGCAGCGAACGAAGCGGTCTGTCTTAAACAGCTTCATCGCGTCAGAGCCAGGCCTCAGTGGAAGCTTACAGGGCTGGCTCTAAATAATAAACACGGTTTAGTAATGTCTGTGGCCAAGGAAAGAAACCCATACAACGTTACACTGCTATACGACAACGCAGTAACGATGTCATTTGTGACGCCGCTCCATCCTTACAGTTTCTTTGCGGATAGTTCGCTGTTAGCAGTTGTTGGCTAAAGTAATAGTAGCAGTAGTTAAGCGCAATGCTAATTTGATACTCAACCAATTACGTTTTCTTTCTTATTGATATTTCATATTAAAACTACGCATTCAAAAATTCTCACAGACTGCCAACGGTTTTTTGTACTCTATTGTTAATGTCATTATCGTTTATCCTGTCTGGGTTAACACATCAAGAGATCAGCCCAGTTAAAAGGTTCTTATAGAGCCGTGTTTGTTTACACTGTCTTAATCAACTTAAGACATTTACATACTGTTACTGATAAGGAGGGCCTGTAAATGATAAATGATGTTAAGGAGGGCATTTAACAATATTGTGTTATTTGTACGTGCACCTCTAATACAACTGCATTCGTAGCCCCTAGTTTTTTATGCATAATTTGTTGCATCTGATATGCATTTCACATTTGATATTATCTTGTGGCATATACAGAGGTGCGTTCCAACTGTAGATTGTCCAATAGGAACCTGGTTGCTGTTACATGCAGTAAGTGTCTGTTTTTATAGTCAACAATGTTGTACTTATTTTACTTTTATTTAACCAGGAATCCCTTTGACATTAAAAGTATCTGTAACAAGGAGATCCACGAAAGGCAGCAGCCATTTAAAAACTGTATAAAGCACATTAAATAAAATCAAATTAATCTTACATTTTTAATACAATACCCCGCAAACAATCTCTTATTAGACAGTGCAATATTCAAAATCACATAATAACAAATCATATATAATGACTTCTAAATGCGATTTATCATTATTTCTGATTAAAGAAACCAAAATGTATTAAATTGCGCATTGCTTGGCATTTACACGTTTTTCACTGAGCTATCTGGTTACCAGAAGTAGAAGTGTTTTTAAAAAAAAAAAAAAAACTAAAAAAGTAATCCTTTTACCGAACTTTGTGTTGAATTATTAACTTTCCTTCTGACCATGGTGGCCATGCACTATAGATATAACAACATTATTTGTAAGCAGTTGGGAACACAATGACGTGTGTGTTAAATAATGTTAGCCATTGATGCATGACCACAAAATGTGATGTGAAATTCATTTGGGAAGTAGGCATGAAATCTTCAGGGAAATTGAAGAGCGTTGTAATAGTTAAATAAGGGGACAGTTATTACAGCACTATGATATATTGCAATTATTCCAGCAGTCATGTGATTAGTTACTGTTCTAATTTCTGTGTTTCTGAGCGCAGTTATAAGGTAAACTATTGGAAAACACTGTTTTATTCCTGTGTGTGTGTGTGTGTGTGGTATGTTCTCAGATCTGTTTTTAGAGTCTCTAAATGGCTGCGGGGAAGTCTGGATCAGATGCATACAACAATGGTAAGTGTATACTAGTTATACAGTACCTGATTATTTTCAATGACAGCACTAAAGCCTCTGAGTGGTAGGGGTAAAAATCCATTAAAAACTAAGAAAAATAAACATAATCATCCTAATACCCCGAATAAACGTCATCAGAATTTTTTGTTTTCCAGAAATGAACAGAGATAAACCTCCCCGACCCTCACACCCCTTTTTTTCATTACTCGCCAAGTATCTACAGCTTGTAATGTTGGTAATACAAAACAGTTTTTGGTAAGAATTTATTGAGTTTGGGAAGTAGGAAACATGAATCTATCACAGCTTAACGAGTCAGCATTCATAGGTGCAAATGAACTCAGCATTAATAGCATTAATATTCATTAATATGAATATTAATATAATATGAATATTAATGCTGTGCCCTTTTTTGAGTAAAAAGCCTTTTGTTGTGTTTTTCTTTTCCCTCACCAAAAGTTATTTTGCTCATGGCTTGCTGCTCCCTGGTCTATATCCTTCTACTACTACTAACTACAAATTTACCTCAATCATAAAGCTATAAAGTTGTTAGGAGAATGTTACCTGATGTAAATAATTAATATTAGGACATTATTGCATTGTCCATTATCATACATGGTCTTTGACTGTGCTGTTTTTGAGCTGTAAATGTAGGTTTTGTCTACTCAACTGTTTTTCCTGTTTTATGGTCACAGGACCCATAAGCTACCTTGAAGATGTTCCCTTCAAGATTAATGAAAAATTCTGCTGCCCAGCCAAAGTGGGGCTTCCTGTTGGTTTCTGCCTGCCTGACTGTCGCTCTTTGTTGATAAACACAGAGGTAAGATGGACTTTAATTTCAGGCTCCCAGCGCCCGCACCATTCTGAAGGCTTTAGGGCAGATTTCTTCATCCTGGCAACACCTGAGGCTGAAATATGATTGGACAAAAAACTGAAGTATATGCGACTGGAAGCAGTGCAATCTGGAGAAAAGCTTAGAATGTGACTGATGAGAACAGAGTGTTCTGTCTAAATACATAAATATTCATGATAAATATATCGACAAATAAGTAACTGATTCTGATACTGTTTAGGTCAGCAGGGAAGGCCTTGCTGGCCTCGATGTATATCTATTGTATATCTATTTAGAGGTGTGTGTCATCATGACAGTGGGTGTATTATTGGTAAGAATAAAAATACTGTTACCGTAATCTTATTGTTGCAACTTCAAATATAATTAATTATAATTCATATTCATAAATCTTAGTTAAAAAGTCTGACTGTTAATTACAATTATAGTTTCACAGAAATATAAAATGATTAAATCTGTTTGTTTTGTTTCCTTTTTGCATCTTCCTGGCCATGGTTTTGAAAAGTATGACTTTTCTCTGGAGAGGAGAAGTGTACAATGGGGACTTGAACTGGCCAATGCTGAAAAAAAAGCGGCCATGCTGGAGGCAGAGGCTCGGGACTGTTCGGATCAGGCTCAGGACAATGATGGGGGTGGAGAAAACACAACCATGCCTGCTACAGACAACCAGGATCCTCCACCACCAGCATTAAACCCCGTCCTGGTGGGGCTGAGCCATAATGCCATTCTCACTCCACTGCCAGCCCCAAGCTTAGGTCCTAGAAAAACCCAGCCGAGTACTACTCATTTACACAACCTCAACTTAGCTGACTTTGAGCGGGAAGAGGACCCCTTTGACAAGCTGGAGCTGAAAACATTGGATGATAAAGAGGAGCTTAGGAACATTCTTCAGAGCCAACCTCAACCTCAGCCTCCATCATCGGTATCAGAGTCAGGGTCTCGTGCAAATAGCCCATCACCACCCAGCGCCATCACCAGCCACCAATCCAAAACAGGCTTTTCCCACAAACCTAATGGCTTGGTTGACTTATTAAACATGGACAGGGTAGGGCATCCTGGGAGAGCGGGATTGGAAGTAGATGACCGACCCTGTAACATCCGCTCTCTAACTTTTCCCAAGCTGTCTGATTCCGGTGATCCAGAGCCTCTGAGATACAGTAAACTACCCGTACCTATCCCTGCTTTCAGTGAGAACCTGTCTAATGGGGGTCCACCAACCATACCCAAGACTCATGTTATCATTGCTTCTGAATCACAGAGCCTCATCAGGAGTGACACACAGAAACCAGTAAATACATCACACATTCATTTCTAACACCCAGTATAAATTGTCTAGCACAGCAATTTAGGATAGGAAATAATGTTTTTTGTCTTTTCCAGGCTAACACAGGGCTAGGTTCTTCTAGTTTGCCGTGTGGTGGTGCCCTGCTCAGCATGACTCCCAATGAACGTCAGTGTGTCGAAACCCTTGTAGGTATGGGTTATTCCTACGAGGATGTCTTACGTGCTATGCAGAGACAAGGGCAGAACATAGAGCAGGTAAGATTTACTCAACATCGTTGCTGGGAAATCTGGGTCATTTGTGTGTCCCATATCAGTTGTTTAGTATATTGTTTGTGTGCAGAGAAAAATACAAATTTTGTAAAATTCTACAAAAATCTGCTCTAGACTCCTATGCCCTAATACCTTTGATTACAGCTAGAATGTGCCCTAGCATTTCAAGAACACTGATGTTTTAGATTGTTTGTTCAATTTTCTCTCATAATTATGGGAAAAAAATACAGTGGCTTTGTTTTGAGCTGACAAAATGACATTTTTGAACCATAATCAATCTGTAAAACCGGAGGGTTTTTTTTTTACATTCTGTTATTTTTTTCTAGTATTGAATAATGTCCAAGCATGAATATTTTGTGATGTGTTTTGTCGGTTTCAGGTTCTGGATTATCTTATTTTATCTGGACGTCTCTGTGATCGAGGCTTTGATGCAAGTGCTGTGGAGGAGTGTTTAGAGATGTACCAGTGTTCTGAGGAAAAGGTGAAATATGTTTAGAATGTTTAGAGAGAGAGTGTGTGTGTGTGTGTGTGTGTGTGTCTTCCTCAATGTGGTGATGTAATTTAAATTACTTCTCGAATTGACTGCAACTTTTTTGTCAGATGAACTGGATGTGGAAAAATGTGTGTGTGTGTGTGTGTGTGTATGTATATGTATGTTTACTAGGCTTGTGCAAAATCGTATCGTTTCCTGAAATATTTGCCCCATGCAATTACTACTATGCTGCGTAATTAGGGTTGCCAACCGTCCCTGGAAATATTAAATTGAATGTGAGAACAAAAATATCCTGTAAATTGTTAATGGAATCAATGAATAACAGGACACTTTATATGAAAACATGCATGTCTCGTACTGAGCTGAGAAAATAATTGGCAACCCTACACATGATGACATACAGTATTTGTGTGTGATGCAGTAATGAGTAAAACACTTGAATATGATAACCGAACAAGTACAGTAAATCTGTTATTCATCCACATCAAGGTTTGGTTTTTAGCCTTGTATTATTTCCCTTTTCCTAAACAGGCGTTGCAGTTTCTTGAACTTATGACCAGATTTGGTGAAATGGGATTTGAGCGGGATGCCATCAAAGAAGTGTTGCTGGTCCACAACAATGATCAGGAAAAAGCTCTTGAGGACCTGATGACCCGTGCTGCAGCAAGTTGAGCCAAGCCAACCATAGTCCACATCAGTGCTTTCCTTACCACAACCATCCAGGAGCCCTTTTTCCGTCTTAATACTCTATCAAAACACACCTTGACTTTGCCCAGGCCCTGGAAGAGGCACACTGGAATAAAGTTGCATATCTCTGCTAAAACGTTTTGTGTATCAACACTTCCTAAAGACTTTGTGCCTCAACTGAAAGGAGTCCCTCCTGAAGTCTCTTTTCTTCTCCCAGGGTTAGGCTCCGGGATTTTGTATTGCTTAGTTACTCAAAGAAGTGGTAGAGTGAAGTGCTTCAAGTGTGGAGTGGCATTTAAATGCTGCTCTGGTTTGCTTTTGGTTGGGATTGTGTATTTGACTGTTGATAACAGATTTAGGTCCAGAGGCTGGTGGCAATGGACAGGTTACAGTAAGACCAGTTAAAACTATTGGAATTCCCCAATAATAAGCTTGTTGGAACCGAAGAATGTTGACGGGAGAGTGGGTCTTAAGGAGGCTGTCTTCATACATAACAACCAACATAAAAAAGCTTCAGTGACCTGCTACGGTGATCTTCTTTTTTTAAAATGGGTTCTTCTGTTTAATTGTGTCTTTTTTGTTTCTTTGAGCACTTTTTCATGTGTAAAATACAATTGCTTTGATTTCTGTCTTTGGAACTACATATTAGATCCTTCCTCCTGGGCCACCCTGGATGCACATGCATCATGTAATGGGTAAGTTGCAGTCTCTTATCCTTCTGTTCAAAATGTTTGGAGTTTAATAATAATAATAATAATATATTCCTGAATACTCTAAAGCCAAATGCCAATTCTTATTGTTATCCTTAAGCTTCATCTGTAGGAAAAAGTTACAAAGATAGTGGCAGAACTACCCACTTCCCTGAAGGAGCATGACATCTCATCAGTATTCTACAATGTGCATTTTCTTAAAAAAGGCTCAAGTTGGCTGTTTTATCCGTGGCTCCCAAATTCATGTTTGCGCCCCTCAAGAGTCAGATAAACACTGACTCTTGAGGGGCAACTTTACATGTGGCTTTAAATTGTTGCACACAGGCCCAGAATCATTTGAAACAACACAACACAACCAAATGTTGACTGTGATACTGTTCTAAGTCTGAAATAAATTCACCTTTGGCATTTCTGTTCATCAGTGGTTGTCACATTGTTTTTACACAGTTTATTAGAACACTTACAATAAATTCCCTTTTGACCATCCCTCCCCACTTTCCTCTTTATTGGTTGAAATTAGCTTAAAGCTGCCCACTGTTCACTTTGGTGATGGGTTAAAAGCAGAGGTCACATTTCCTTGTGTGCAGTGGTGTGCTGTGTCACAGTGACAAGTAGTCCACTTTCACTTATCACTTTCTTTCCTTTGATGCCTCAATTAATCTATTTGCCAAAATAAATGACCTTCAATTCTGTAGAGCTCTCTGATCTGGTTTCACTTGTGTTAACCTCAGACTTAAATGTTTATTTGGCCCAATCCTCACACAGATGTTTAAAGAAACATTTCTCCTTATAAAACCTCCACACTCAGGTCACAGATAATGAACTAATATTAATACTGGTCCTATTAGAGCCCAGTTCAGCATTTGAAACAATTGATTGGAGTATACTACTACATAGGCATACACTTATCTGAAAAACTTCGGCAGAAGGTTGCAGGTTTGAGGCCACCAGTTGCCACTGAGGTGTAGTTAGCATGGTCCTATCAGACACTCCCTTGAAACTCACCTTAAGCTGCCCCCTGTTCAGTAAGATGATGGGTTAAAGGCAGAGATTGCATTTTATTGTATGCAGTTGTGTGCTATGTCACAGTGACAATAAATCACTTTCACACAATGATGCTTTTTGATGTACATTATGTAGCAGCTGTGTGTTGCTTTAGTGCGTTAGTTGGCGTTAGTTGGCTACATGAGTTATCTAATATTGATGGTTTCTATAGCTGTAATGAAGCTATTAGGATGTGGCAGTTTTCTATCTCACTCTTTGCCAAGGCAGAAAGCTGAGTCTGGATTTGCTGAGATTTCAGCCTGTTACAGGTTTTTTTCACACAAGTGCTTGCTTACTTATATATAGGTATATATATAATGTATATATTGGGGACTTCTATTGAGGTTCAATATTTTTCATGAATTTGTGCTGTGCAAATTTAATCGATATATTTAATTGTTCCATTTAAGTAATTTATGTGAAAATAAATTATAAATAATTGATTTAATTGATACATTTAATTGACTGTTATTTGTGACTTTTATCTCTATTTTTTAATTAGGAAACTAAAGGGAAAAGGCCATTCTCTCATGACTCAAGGTAACCCGTCTGAAGGGCCTGCATGTCTTGCGCATTCACGTTCGACCTTGTTTTTCCTTGTTTGGTTTGACTGCGCATGCGCGGTTCCAAACGCTTAGACGCTGCTGACGCGACCTGGTGTTTTGTTTTCTAAACTGATAATTGGGAGTGATAAATCAGGGATAGGTTTATAACGTATTGTTAACTTTAGTATCCTGGAAGCCGATAGAAGAACGAACGAGAGGTGACCGATTCGATTCAGGACAGGGATTGCAGACCTCTCCCGTATGTGATTCACACTCCTCCGTCGACGGACGCTGCTAGCGACGCCCGGAGAACAAAACAGCACAACGCCATTATATGATCAAGTGTCCAGAGTCACTTTTACCCTCCATGTGGGTGAGGGAACTTTGTGTGTCCGACTATGGCGAGGAAAACAGTTAGCAGGAAAAGGAAGGCTGGAGAGACCAAAGAGCAACAACAGGTAACCGGAAACCGAACATTAGCTCACTTTGCTATTGTTGCTAGCTAGCGCCAGGTTTACATGTTAAGCTGTATCAAAACATATAAGTTAAACGTCTTTGGTGTTAAATTACATATCTTACAGCAACTCTTACATAATACACATCACATAATCAACTTATTGGTAACTTGTTTAAAAGTCAGTATGTGTACAAGCTTAACATTAGCTCAGCTAACTGTTGTCCGTTGCCTGTTAATATCTTCAAATTGCTTTACAAATGACGCATTTTTGAGTTTTTATCATTGACAGTTAAATGCTCGAGTCATTGTTACATCAAACTGTTCACAACAAATAATATTGCTTATCGCAAAAGTCTAAATGCGTCTTATATCGTCTAAATGCTGGTCCAATGTTGCCCAAGCTGCCCTAAACATTAGCAGTTACGCTGTTCATATTCTCTCTCTCTCTCTCTCTCTCTCTCTCTTTCACACACACACGCACTTTTTTTGTTTTCTCTGCATATAAGCCACCGGCGAAGAACCTGTCCTACAGTTACATATTTCAGTTTTGAATTATTTTTCCAACATCCTCGTCCACTATTGTACCCCAATTGCATGAGTCTTGAGGCCTTGTTTTTATGTTGGAGGTATGCAAGTACTGCTACCCGTTACTTTGTGCGCCTTCACAAGCGCTTGAGTTGCGCACTGTGAGACCACAATAACATTAGAATAATTAAAATAATTGTTTTAATGAGACCTCGTTTATGCAGTATAATTATGTCTTATTGCCATAAACAATCTTGGGATAGTTTATGGCCTTTGACAAGATTTATTTTGAGCATATTATATCCAGTAGGGGTGTTACGGTACGAAAAAGTTAGTACGTACCTTGGTATTGACGTCACGCAGAGAACAGAAAGACTTGAACATTCACAGTTTAAATAAAAAAGCAGAACAACATGACACAATTCTGATTGTTGGTGTCTCACATTGTAATAAAAATTTTGTGTAAATTTTGTTCCTCCGACAATACCAACGCTATTGATGGTGTATTAAGATTTTTACTTAGAATTATAATCCAAAAAATAAAAATTTCCTGAGGTGTGACTGTCTGGCATATGTGCTACCTTAATAATAAGAGCATATTTCCAAAAAATTAAGCTAATATAAAATAATTAGGTGTTTTTAATAGCTACAGAAAGTGTCGATGACTATGCATTATGTAAAAAAAATTGTCTGTAAAAAGGGCATTGTGTGCTGTGGCACTATAACGTACATTTTAAGTGGACAATAGCATAGACATCTTAATGATGATGAGGCCCACACCCAATCAGAAAGTTACTGTAACATCTCTTGGTTTTTGTATTGCAATATTTAAACAATTTATAAAGTGCATAATGTGAGTTTAAATAATAGTTAACATTAAGACAATAAATTTGATTAATGAGAAGTGAGAAAATGTATTATTTGAACAACCTAAATGAACTGGTTATTAACAGATACAAAGATATTAAAATAATTATACGTGTACATCATCAACAATCTTACAAAAAGCCTGATAGTCACTGAGTATTTTCCAGACACATTTCAAAGTTTATTGTTTATTTGTCAGAACAAAAAATTGTTACAAAAATTATTGCAACATTACATTACATTTTGTGGTTTCTGTGTGTCAACTTTTCACTCAATTTGTTCACTAAGTTTAATAATATACAGTAATAATAAAAATATTTATTAATGAGATTTTAATTTGTTTAGCAGGGACCCGCACAGTCTCTAGGCAGCCATGTTCAAATTTGGCTTAATTCCAATTAAAAGGCAGGTTTCTGAGAAAAAAAAACATGAAGTAGGGGTAGGGGTATTACTCTGGCCCTGGAAGTCTCACAGGTAAATACACAAGGCTGTCACTGTATGCCTTTTTTTGTCAAGTCTTTTAATTGTTCCCACTTCAGTTCAACACACAGTAGATTATCCATCCATCCATCCATTTTCATCCGCTTATCCGTTACCGGGTCGCGGGGGCAGCAGTCGCCACCCAAATCACATTGCACCGTACCAAACCTTCCTGCGGGTGGTGAGTCCACTGGAAGGTACCAACCGCCCTAACCGGGATTCGAACTTGCCCAGGAGGTGAACCCTGGGGTTCCACACCAATGACAGAGACATTGCCTCTGGGCCAAAGCGCCACCACAGTAGATTATGAACTTATTAATGTTATTTTACTCTATTCTTCACCTGTTTCTTACTTCAGAGAAGTTCAAGACTCCTAATCGCTTCACTTTTGTTTCCCCTAGCTTGGCTGGTGTCAGGTGCCACACAAGAGGAGCCTTGTTTCTTGTTCATCACGTCATGCCCAGCCATGGTCTTGCAGTCAGCCGTCTGTGGTTTGTGCACTGCGTGGGCGAGAGGTCAGGCCTCAGCAGGAGCATGAGTTGCGGCTTCAGCGAAGCCTGCGGGGCTTTGCAGCAGCTCGGCTCCCTGGCATCCTCAAGGAAAGGGAGTTCTCTCTGGGGAGCCTCAACAAGGTGTTTGCATCACAGTGGCTTAATCACCGACAGGTTGTGTGTGGGACCAAGTGCAACACGGTGAGCTGTTATAAATTGCTAATCTGGTTGGGTTCTTTTTTTTCATGTTTAATGATTGGTCATGTTGAGTTTTTACTATCCACCAAATTTAGACGCTGAGATCTTGGAGAAGTTGCTGCAATAATATGCTATCTTATTGATTGTACTTCTGCATTTGTGTGCCTAACCTTATATTGTTTTGTTTATCTTGCAGCTTTTTGTAGCAGATGTCCTGACTGGGAAGATAACACGCATTCCCATGCTGAGGGATAGGGAATGGGACTACATCACCTCCCACACAGTGGTGGGCCAACGTTACTTCCCCACTGTAGGTTCTCGATCACGGATGGACCAGCAGGGCTGTGGAATCCATGCTATTGAAGTAAACCCCTCCAGGACGCTCCTTGCCACAGGTGGAGACAACCCTAACAGCCTGGCCATTTACCAGCTGCCCACATTGGATCCAGTCTGTGTTGGGGATGTAAGTCCATCAAAGCTTCAGAAGAAGGAGGTCAATTATAGAAGAAAAGAAGACTTAAGTCAATTAAAAAAGAAGTTATATTTGTTAAAATAAAAACACTCTCGACTTTGGCTCACCTTAATGCAGTAGGTGGCATCAGGATTATAATGACATAGTCATAACATTGGTTGGAAACTGCAATTAATGTTGAGATGGTATTCTAAGGTCCTGCAATGTGTGTAAATAGTATGTTTATATTGCTATATTTGCATTTAAACACTTTGACTATTTTTTTTAGGACGGCCACAACGACTGGATCTTTTCCATAGCATGGATCAGTGACAACATGGCAGTTTCTGGTGAGTTCCCAGTTGGAGTCAATTTGTGTTAATTTATAAATATTATACAGATATTCAATTAATACCGATGAATTATCTATGTATGACTTGCCCATGTGTATATACATTTTCTCTATATACATACAGGATGTGTGTGTACTCAAGCGCCACATCTTAGAGTCTAATCACTAAATTGGCAACATGGTGTGGTTATTTTCCTTTTTGTAGGGTCCAGAGATGGATCTATGGGCTTGTGGGAGGTGACAGAAGACATATTGCGTCAGTTTGAAAGGAGTCAGGCCGAGCAGACAGTGCCCTCCTACGCTCACCTTTCCCATCGTGCCCTTAAGGATATTCCAAAGGAGTGCACAAATCCGTACAACTGTAAAGTTCGAGCTTTAGCCTTCAACAACAACAATAAAGTACGTTCCTCTGTACTTTTTGTTTAAAAGTTTAATTAGCCTTTATTTACTGGATTTCCCAAATGTTTTTTCTACCAAGGTGTTTATAATCACATGATTTTAATTATCAAATCAGTTTAACCTTCCTTTTATCAGAGAACAGAAGTCCAAAAGTTGTGAAAAAGCAACATTAATGCCAAGTCTAAAATTTGCATTCACCCAGCTGTATTGTAAATTTACAGCTTCTGACAAGCATGTGCAATTGAATGTTCTTCTGAAGTAAAGTAGAGTATGCCATTCTGGTTGGACAAAAAAGCATTTCAGCCAGAGTCAGACCCAGAACAAACAGAATCTTCAGTCAGTCATGAATGACCTTGAATGTTTGCCAGTGATGGGTAGTTCAGTTTGTTATTTCAACATTACTTTTGTGTTAATATGCATACAAAAATTGTAAGCCTTTGCTGACTTTTTTTTTTCCCATGCGGTTAAAGTTGACAACCCAGCTTGGGGTTCTGGTTTCCCTCTAATTGGTTTCGCTTCAGTTGCCTGGCTGTCATGTTGTTGTTTCACAGTACTGCATCAGTTCTTCTCATCACTTTTTCTGCTGTGTTTGAATTTTCAGGAACTGGGTGCTGTGTCATTAGATGGCTATTTCCATCTTTGGACAGCTGAACACAACCTGTGTAAGGTAAGTTACTGGTTTAATTGTGACTCTGTAATTCACCGAACCTATATCTTTGCCAGGCCGGGTATAGTAGTCATATCATTTATAGTCAATAAAATATCCAAGCATATATATTTTATTGTTGTTGCCAGGTAATGATGACTTTTTTGGCTTCTGGCTTACAGATACTGTCCACCAAACTGCCTCATTGCAAAGAAAATGTGTGCTTGGCGTACGGTCGAGACTGGTCAGTGTACGCTGTGGGTTCTCAGGCGCATGTTTCCTTCCTAGATCCACGGCAGCCAACACACAACATCAAGTGTGTAAATTCCAGAGAGAGAGGAAGTGGTAAGAGTGCTCTAAAATAAGTATGATAAACAATAGAAAAAAAAGAGTCACATCCAGTTTTTATAGATCTTTTAAATAGCATTTGATGCCTGTTCTAAGTGTGGAGTTGCTCATCAACACAGGAAAGTTCACACTAGACCATATATGGTCAAACTAAAGTTTTTCTTTATGGCAAACATTGATTTCGATGATTTTGTGTTTTACCTGCATTTAAATGCATCAACTCTAATTTTAGTTTAAGCCACAAGATGGCGGCATACACAATTAAGCTTTTCTGGAGGGACTGCTTATCTCTCTGTTTTAGGCTGCACTCACACTTGGACCAGGCTGTTGTTTATACGCGGTTAAAGCCGTGTGATCGAGGGTGAATGTCAACAACGGCTGCAACAGCTGCTGTGTGAACAACCTTTAAAATAGTCAAAAATAGTCAGGCCTCTGATCACCACGGTGTAATCATTACTGTATCACTGTAGTCAGAGTAACTTTTATAACGAAGAGCTCAGACCCCTACAGTTGAAGCCACATCAACTTTAATGCACTGCCAAAACAAGCATCACATTTCTATACAGATCAAGTACTTTTTAATCCTATTATTTAACACAAACAATCGCCATCCAACAAAAAAGGCATAAACAAGTATGGTTTCTTCACTGTTCCAATTTACAACAATGACATCTATGTGTGTATGTGTTGGTGTGTTTTTTAGGAATCCGTTCAGTGAGTTTCTATGAGCACATTGTGACAGTGGGAACCGGCCAGGGTTCACTTCTCTTTTATGACATACGAGCTCAAAGGTTTCTGGAAAACTCTTTGAGTCCTGCAGGTGGTTACCGAAAATGCCCAGGAGACAGCCTTCTGAAGCTCTCTACTGGAAAAGGATGGCTGGTACTGTTTATTTTTGACATATATTGTCTTACAAGACATACAAGGTCTTTCTGCACACTAGTGGATTTTCAAATTAAAAATGTATCTTGTATAATATTTTGCTATCTAAGCGGTATGTTATCTTTTCTATCATTTTTACATGTAGACTAACATTAATCTTTTTCATCTTTACGAACTAATAATCTTATCTTTATCATAGTTTTTAGAATTTGCATGAATTGACTGAAACTGAAGATAAGTTTTCACTTTACCTGCTAATCGAGGAATGTCCCAGAATGCATGCTCAGAGCACATGCACTTTCTAAATTAGTTCATGATGTTAAAACAGGATTATTACCAGAGTGGAGATTTTAGTTTGTCTATAACATTTCCAGCATGTGTAGTTCTACTTAATACTATTAATATTCTTTTTGATCACCTCTCGACCCCTTTCTAACGCTTGGTGTCACTTTCAGAATCATGATGAAACGTGGAGGAGTTACTTCTCAGACATTCATTCCTTCCCAAATGCGGTGTACACTCACTGTTACGATGACTCTGGCACCAAGCTGTTTGTAGCCGGTGGACCTCTGTGTTCTGGGCTGCATGGCAACTACGCAGGGCTGTGGAGTTAGCCTTGGTGTCCCCTCCACTGCCACAATGCCCCAAACACATTCTTAACCCACTAGTCCATTTATTCCTATATTAGTCTCCTGTAACTTCGCTGTTTCAACATGGACTCAGGATCACGAGTACTGTTCTTGTGTTTGTTTCCTACATCGTTGTATCAATTTCTCTGTAGTTTTTTCTTTATATTCTTTTTGTTCCATATTTAACTGAACAATTAGGTATTAATTTTTAAGAGCTGCAGCCTTTGCCAATGACAAACATAGAATAGTAATGGAAAACATCATACCTGTTGTCCTCATTCGAAGTATTAATGTTATTCACAGGGATAAGGCCATGGTCTTCTGCTGCCTTATTTTCTTTTATTTCACTACACAATAATAGTATTTATTGCTGCTTTGTCTGTGATATGGGTGTCTTTGTGTATATTTGTCCCTCTTCAGAAAAAAAATTATTTGAAATTTCTTTAACAAAAATGAAAGGCAATAAAACTGAGCAGAGAGACTTAAGAGGCGACCAAATAGGAATATCTGAAGTACTGATTGTGTTGGGGGAGCCGCTCCTGTACCAACAATCATCAAAGAACTCCTTTCTTTGTATCCTGTCTGGAAGTCCACAGTGGAGGCTAATCAACATTGGACTGTTTATCATTTTCCCAGAGATGATATGACATCAGATGTGTTGAGATTGCTGAATACTATTATAAGCGAATCTCTACGAGTGCTCACCAATTTTCATGATTTAACTTTGAACTTCGTTGACTAATTCAGGGTTATTTATATACTAGGGATGTCAATACCAATAGTGACTATTGAGTGTGTACTAATGCTGATACCAGTCTCATACAGTATTTTGCTACTGTGAAAATAAGACCCTTAACGTGATGCTCCTGTTGTCTCAGCTAATTGATCCTTTTTTATTACATGTTTCTTTTGAATTGCCCAACGTGGTGAATTTGAACACCCCTCAGATATTGGCCTTGTGATTAGCTCTGGGTTTGTTTTACATTCCTAGCCCTAGATGGAAGAAATAGATAAAACTGCCTGATTGTAAACTTTGGCTCCAGGTTTAGGCCCAGGAAAAGGACCAAATGTATCGGCTGATTCAAATCACTTGTCTTGACATTTTACTTTAGAGTTTATGTTCTCAACCACCAGTTTTAGGTCTTCATTTTGGAACTGATAGTAACCCTTAGTGAAAAGTTAACAAAGAAGTGGAACACTACCATCACGAGACTGGTTTCACGCCAGGTTTTCAAGACATCACCTACAGATTCAGGTTCAATGCAGGTCACAACTTCTATTATGATTTATTGTCTGTAACCTTTTAAATAGAGTTTTATTTACAAGATTTCCATCATATTGTAAAAGAAAAAGTGAAACAGGTTTCGAGACAAAGTGCGACTAATATTGTAGAATTCGTCTCATTTTCCTGTGGACTTCCTTTAATGTGGAGTTATTGCCCAGGTCGTGGAGCGCTTCAGTATTTTCTGTGGCTTTGTTAATGATTGCTTTTCAAAGATTTGAGCTCTGAAACCATTAATGTTTTCTTAAAGGTCTACGACAATTTACAGTTTTGATGGTGTCATCAGTTTGCAACAACAAAATGAGCAGTACAGTCACTAGCATTTCTTAGCAAGCAAGCAAGCCAGACTGGTGTAAAAGGTCTCTTCTAGAGTTGCAGGCTTCAGTCACATCACACCTGTTGTCACACTTGTTGTCGTGTGTTTTTCGTATAAAGGAGTCGGTAATACAGCTCTTTTTCCTTGTTTGGTGGATGCAGGGTAGAAATAAGTCTTTCTGTCTAGGACTGCTAACTGACAGTGATAGTTTTCATGATAATGAAAAAATGAAGAAAAAAAAATATGCCACCAAAATCTGAACACTTAAAAAGTGTATTTTATATATAAGCCTGTATATGTATGTGTAAAATACATGTGGACAGTCGCTCACATTTTATGTACATATCTGAGGGCATGTGTGGATTGATGTGTCTTTGTTGATGCCCTGTTTTTTTTATACATTCCTCAAGAATGTTTTTACAAACGACTGAATCTGAGGATATTGTAAGAAACATCTAGAAAAAAATTATAAAATCTTTAAAGAGTAAATAATAAAATAAATGTTTATTGATGTAAAATGTGCTTGTTTTCCTGATTGACATCATTCCCCTGGTACACCATGAGTCGACTCCTAAAGAATACATATAACACATTCATGTAACCACACATGTCCAACTGAAAAGGTTGCCTATTTTCACGTTAATTTCAAATGTCTAAAATGTTTTGTTTAGTTTTTCCATTGCCTTTTGTCTGTTTTACAGAACAACTGACTCTAAACATCATAGCATGTCTCACTACTGTCTCATAAATCTTCCCTTTCAACTGTGCAGCCATTCTTTTGTCACAAATCACCCCTGACACCTGCACGTCTTTTGTGCACTGTTCGTCACTAAATGGTTGACCCTGGGTCTCTAAACTCATCTACCTCTACTCTACAACTTTATCTTACCACTCGCCTCGCTCTTATTCACACAAATATTATGTTTAACTGACCTTTAATTTGGGTAAAATGCAGAATAAAAAACTTTGTAAACTCATCAAAAGCAATATAGAATAATAATAATAATTTTCTGAAAAAGTCTTCAGAAATGAATAAAAATGCACTCATTTGCCCCAGATAGCTTTATCATTTCTTATGTTTAAAATGAAGAAGAATTATGTTCCCATATATTATTGGGTATAATATGGGTATACTTTATGGTACACCCAATAGTCTATGGGAATAAAATTGTACCTTGGATGACCCTCCTATTTGATATGGTTGTCATATAAAAATTGCATGATAACCAAGAATTAAACATGCCTCAAAAATGTGTGAATCAGTGAAAAACCCTAAAGGTAAAACATGAAGATCAATGCTTTATTCGAATGTCCTCAAAGCCTTTTTGAGCCTTTCTTCTTGCTTTATGGTTTTAGGGGCTTAATCAGTGATGTCATCAGTCAACAGTTCCTCTATGGAGAAAAGTAAGTTAAGTTAATGAGGAAAAACAAACTCCCTGTTGTTAGTTGTGCAGTGCTGCAGAGAAGAGTCCAGGTCAATCAATGTTAAAATGTCCTGTCCAAACGGCCTCTGGGTTTGTGGCAGCCATGGTACATCAGACAGTCATCAGACAGTGCTGCAGAGGAGAGCACGTGGAAAACAGTGAAAAGACAATTACAGTACATTCACCGTGTCCAACTTTGAACACATAACCACAAACTGTCTAGTTCAACTCTAAGGTTCACTGCCTGGTCTGAAATGAACACAAGTGTGAGTAACAAACTGGACTTGTGTCACATCAAACCAGTGTCAGTGTAATAATGGAATTATTCACCGTCCATCACAGTCCTCCACCGGGGTTCACAGTGGACACTGAGATTCTTCGTTGACAGTCAAGAGCAAATCAGAATTCTGCTAGTAGTGAACTTTTACCAAACACGAATAGTTCAGAACTAGCGGAATTCCAGACCTACCCTCGAAATATCACAGCACCACATGGAAAGAGCAGAGTTTTAAACACCAGGAACTAAGTCCACATTCATATCTTTGGAGGATGAATGGAATGACTTTCAGAACTACAGGTCAACTAACATCAACACATTTATTAGACTTGTTAGCTGAAAAGCAGAAATAATTAAAAGTTGAAAAGAAATTGGAAACAAAACTATAAATTAGAAAAAAAATGGTTCTAATAAAATAAACCCAGCAAAACATCAGGAAAGGTTAACTGAATTTGGGTTAGACAAAAATAACAACAAAAAGCTACCTTAAAGTAAGAACGACCAAAAGTTAGACGTCAGGTAAAACAGACATACACAAACAAGAAAAAAAAAGAAAGGTAGAAGTGGTTTGCAAAAGGTTGAAACTTGCCCAAAATGTTACCCACAAATGTAGCAAATATAGCTAAAGAAGCTAATAAAAAGAAATTGCTTAAATGCAGCAAATTTGAACTGTAAAAGAACAACAAAGCCAAAGAATATTAAATTGCTGAATAACAGCTAAAAATGAATAAAGGAAATCAAAAAGTCTAGTTCCCTTAGCCAGCTTAATAACAAAAAAGCTGTGCAGAAAAAGGTAAAAAAAAATTGCATTTGAAAACAGAAACCTGTATTTGTATTTTAATGCCCTCAAAATATAATTCAGATGTGGTTAAAGAAAGGTTCAAAGTTGTCAATTCAACCCATTACCAACTGGATTCAAGCAGCCACACACAGCCTGTCCATCGGCTACAACTGACCCATTGACCCTGCAAAGAAGCCCATTACCAACTGGATTCAAGCAGCCATACACAGCCTGTCCACCGGCTACAACTGACCCATTGACCCTGCTCAAAGAAAAAGATGCTGCAAAGTCGGTTAGTTAGTGTACTTACCACCAAATACCCACTCATGGCCCTGGTAATGCTGGAAATGACAACCATTTAAACAATAACAACAATGAACAATTATACAATAAATGTAAGAAACCGTATGTTTGTATGTCAAAATCTGTAACATTACATATTTCTTCAGCTTCCTGGTCCGTCCTCCTCAGGACATGGAGTCCTTGTTCTACAGTGCGTTCTCCTCACAACACTGGGATATAAGCAAAAAAAAAAACCCGGTGCAGCAGTGGCAGATTGAAACAACCCAGTAACACCACCAGGGTGATCCCGTGCGTTCTCCTGAGCTGACCCTCCTGCTTGGAGAGATTAAGGTTTTGGACATGCCAAAAGCAATTATTCAAGTTCATGTTTTCCTTGAAGGCACCTGAGGTAATCAGCTTTGTTCTATGCGGACGATGATTATCCTAACCTGAATGTTAACAAGCCAAACAGGCTTAGTTCCACAGGTCGCAGGTCAGACACGGGGAATCGATAGCTGTTTGGAACGCTGAAACATACATGTGGTATTACACCTAATATCAGTGCCTGATGTGACGCCTCTTTGGGGCAGTGGGGGTGAAGTACACTAACTATGTACATGACTTGGGCGAAAGTATTGATACCTGATGTAGGATATTTCAACTCCCACTTGAGTAAAAACAAAAGACTTTTGTTATTCTCACATCAGAACTGTTTGAAGGAGAAAATACTAATGTGACTCTTTAAACATTTGTCTCTTAAAAAAAATCACCAACACAAAACAGAGTTCCTCTTACTCAATGAGGACAAATAACACCGCTGTATCAGTGTGAACGCCAACACATGTCAATAACAGGCCAATCAGGGCCTCGGAATATCAAAGTGTGTTTTTGTAGGTACATCCAGTGTCAGTTCGATCCACTGGCCTGAGTGGACGTGAACACACTGTCCAGTGAACAGCACTGTTGTTCTCAACAATGTAATCTATGCAACAGCATTTTAGCCCTTTTCTCCTGGCAGCGGGGTGAGGCGTACTCCTCCACCTGGTTGCGACTTTACTCCAGATAAACAGAATTATCTTCTCACCTGCTCTTCCAAACAAGCTCTCCACATCTTTGGAAAGTTGGCTATATAGAATGTTTTGAAGTACGTACAGGTGACATCATTGACCAGATGACCAGTGCAGACTAGAAAAAATAAAGTTTTTATCAGTATTTGATTTGTTTGGTCAGACATAAGGATGATCTACTTCGGGATACAGCATGAGGGAAATATTTTCTGAATATTTGGCTCTGTGTTTGCTGGTTTGTTTATTTAAATTGAGTTTAAACTGCCATTAGCCCCAGGCAGGTGACCATCCACTTTAATGTTGTTTGTTTGTTTGTTTGTTTGTTTGTTTTGTTATTCATGCTAGCCTGATGGATTTGTAATTTGCATGAATGCACCTTAAGGGTTGTTGTGTTTTCTTACCCTTCAGTGTTCCATACTGACAAACTGTCTTGCATTTATAACTTATATGAAGTATTATTTAGTCTGCCTTAAATCAGTGTACCAAATGCATTAGTATCACCCTTGCTAGTAGTCAGTACTAGTACTCTCACAGCAGAGTGTTCCACCCTTCGTGCAGACGCCTCCACTTCACATACAAAGCTCTTGCTTAGTTACTGTTGGTAAATGTCATCAACTCACTGTTTTAGCACCACCTGCTAAGAACCTTCAGTAAGTCAGGATGTGAGCTCCACGGCTGCTTACAGCTCGGCATCAGGACTATGACGTTAGTTAGTTTTAAAAATCTCATCCTTTCGGATGACCTCTCTCTCCGGACGGATTAATCTTGTGTTACTTCCCTCATATGTCACACACTTCTACACACTGAGGGTCATCCGCTCGTCCGTATAAGCCGCTTTGAGAGTCACGCTTCCTCGAGTCCGCACGCTCTCTTACCTACGTGTGTCACCCACCGTGTGGATTCAGGATAAACACTGGCAGATCACACACGTTACAAAAATACAATTGGTTCTCTATAATAATTTGTCATTCAGTTGAAACAGTTTTTATTTTTTTTAATTTGACACTTTTTTATTAATAATTAAATAGATGACACAAATAGTAATTTAAAGTATTTCATTAAATGTTATGTTGTGTTATGGTATACATTTGAACCAATTATTTGGCAACGAAACAGGAGAAATATTTAAAGTCACTTGTTGAACTAAAGGTTGAGCTGAAATATTAACAAGTTAGTTCAGAAAAAGTTAGCAACATGTTTTTGTGTGTTTGGAAATTCCTTAGAAAAAACAATTTGAATTAAACCTAAGCGCTCTTCAAAGATCTGGAAACTAATCCACGTTTGAAAATCTGCCTCTAAATCTCGCTGGATGGAAATCCGCTTCGTTTCAATTAAACCAATTAGTGTGTTTTAATCACAGTTGAAAACACGTCTATTGGTTTGACTGTCGCAGCCAAGCAGGACAACGGACATGACATTTGACGGACCTAATCCCATCAGAGGCCTGAGTTGCACCAGTATATAAGATAAATTGAGCAGCGTTGCAGGAGTCACAGCGACAGCAAAGGCCTGAGATCACCATCATGGCAGAAGAATGGGGGAAACAGATGTTTGCTGCCAGGCGTTACCACGACGACACAACAAGGGGATCGGCCTTCGTTTACACAAACAGCAACCACACCAGAGGTACTGTGTTTTATTTCATTTGATATAGGAAGGAACAACCGCCTTAAAATTCTTTGGAAACATAAATATTCAAAGTAAGTTTTAAAACCTAAATTATTGTATTCAAATAACTTTATTCTGTATTATGGACAAACCTGAGATTGCATATCAAGATACTGGGAGATCAAATGGTGATAACATAACTAATATTGTGTGGTGTATTTGAAAGACTGAGAAATGATGAGGAGGTTTAGAACATAGAACTGTATCTCAGTAAAAGGTTTATCATAAAATATAAGAAGATATTGTAAATAGAAGACAATACAATGATGAAAAAATAGTGTGGATGTATTGAAAAGACAAATTAAAAAGTGTTATTATAATCAAATACTTTTCCCCCCACACAGATCCATTTGAGGGTCCCAACTACCACATTGCTCCACGATGGGTTTACAACGTTGCAACATTGTGGATGTTTTTTGTGGTTGTCGCTTCAGTCTTCACCAATGGTCTCGTGTTGGTGGCAACAGCAAAGTTCAAGAAATTGCGTCACCCACTGAACTGGATCTTGGTCAATCTGGCCATTGCTGATCTTGGAGAGACAGTATTTGCCAGCACCATCAGCGTATGCAATCAATTTTTTGGTTACTTTATTCTCGGACACCCAATGTGCATCTTCGAGGGCTATGTTGTGTCAGTCTGTGGTGAGTTAAGGATGATGTTGGTGATTTAACTTTAATGAGGTGATAATGTGGGGTTACGGTGATATCTGAGTGCATTCATTTCTACAGGAATTGCTGCTCTCTGGTCCCTATCAATCATCTCCTGGGAGAGATGGGTCGTTGTGTGCAAACCTTTTGGGAATGTTAAGTTTGATGCAAAGTGGGCCTTGGGGGGAATTATCTTTTCCTGGGTATGGTCAGCGGTATGGTGTGCACCACCAATCTTTGGGTGGAGCAGGTGAGTTAAGGTATTTATATATATATATATAAAAGAACTATGAATAACAAGGTAGTCTAAACATCCTCATTTCTCAGGTACTGGCCACACGGACTGAAGACTTCCTGTGGACCTGATGTGTTCAGTGGAAGTGAAGACCCTGGTGTCCAGTCCTACATGGTGGTTCTCATGGTTACATGCTGTTTCCTGCCACTTTCAATAATCCTCCTGTGCTATGCTGCTGTCTGGTGGGCAATTCACTCTGTACGTCACCTGCTGCTGCTACAATCATGCCTTATTGGAGGTGACTGCCAGGGAACACGGTTCTCACACTTTGCTGCTTTGTTGCTCACAGGTCGCTATGCAGCAGAAGGAGTCTGAGTCGACCCAGAAAGCTGAGAAAGAGGTGTCCAGGATGGTGGTGGTCATGATCTTCGCATATATCTTCTGCTGGGGACCTTACACCTTCTTTGCCTGCTTTGCCGCAGCCAATCCTGGATATGCTTTCCATCCTCTGGCTGCTGCCATGCCTGCATACTTTGCCAAGAGCGCCACAATTTACAACCCCATCATTTATGTCTTCATGAACCGACAGGTGGGTGTTGTGTTATGGCTATCCCCTACTGCTAGACACAGTCTGTAAAAGAGCATTAATTAAACATAAACACCACTGGGCCACTTGGCCAGCACATTTACTTCTTATTTTTACTTTTCTCATGGTAAACTTAAAAAAAAAGTAGGATATAATACGATAATGTGTAATGATCCTCCAAAACAGCATATCATTACTGAAAGAGTTTATTTTTTTAAAAAAAGAAAAAGAATTCTCAAATAATTATTTTGTAAATAATGAACTTAATGGGCCAGATGGAACACACATGGTTACATGGCTACATGGATGTGTTAAATTGGTAGTAAGAAAATGAGGACCGTCTACCCAAGGCGTACCGTGCATCTCATGTAACCCATTAACATCACACATATTCATTATGACCCTCAAAACACAAAATATTTATTTATACACTTTTACAATTTTTTAACAAATCTAATGTGTCTGTCTCCTCCAGTTCCGCTCATGTATTATGCAGCTTTTTGGAAAACAAGTGGATGATGGCTCTGAAGTTTCTACATCCAAGACAGAAGTCTCCTCAGTGGCTCCTGCATAAATCTTTTGTTTTGGAAAACAGACTATGTACGATTATGACATGTACAGTAAATATGTAATGTTTCTTTTTTTAGTTAGTATAGCTTCCTGGCAAAAAAAAAAAAACCCAAAAAACAAAAACAAAACAATGTTCATAAAAATGAATTATTGTATGAAGGTTTCCTTTTTTCTGATGAATATAAAATTCCAAGCATGTTGAAATATTTCTTTGTGAGTAGTTCTTTTTCTTATTTTTGTTTTGCATGTCATTGCTGTGAACTGGCAACCTATCTAAGGGGAAGACGCAGATATCATTCATAATATTGACTTGTGTGAAGCTAGAACGGTAGAATCATAGCCACAAATGAGTACAAACATTTACATATAATTTTCTTTTAGACATTTTACAATATTCGCATTGAGGTTCAACATTGTACATACAGTATTACATAAGTAAATCAGCAGTTGCATTATACTATGTATTGCAGAGCTAAACGTAGTTACAAGTGTTACCTGTGGACCAACGTAGCTAATACATAGGCTGAGAGGTATTTTAAACGGTTGTTAAAATTATATGTAAACTTATTTTGACATGAACCGGAAGTTGTTGATGACGTCATTGTGTGCGCTAGTCCACATAAACACGTGAGCCAGCAGAGCAGGAGGCACAGAAGTTATGTCTAAAGCTAGTCAGTCCTCTAAGGCTTTCTGTTATATATTCTAATTTAATATAACCCAAGTGTTCTTTTCTAACGTGTCTTGTACTAATTGTGTTCCCTACAGAACAGAAACGAGCCAAGCGTCTCGGCTTTTTGGGAAAGTTTAAGGTCAGTCACCACTGCTATGCTAATCTCTGGGGCAACCTGTATAACAGTATAAATGTATTTACATGGTCTGTTCTTAAATAAAGAGCATATGATTTAGCTAGGTGTTCCCGATGTCTCGATTAGGGTCGGGCAAGAAGGAAGTTCACAAAATGTTTTCCGAAGTCATAAGGGAAACATTTTACCTTCAGGAAAAACTGCTACTTGAGACAGTATTTCACAGAACATTTATGTCAAGACTAGAACTCATTTTAGTTGTAGTAGCGTAAATTTGGCGTTTGGAATATAGTTCAGTGGTGATGCCTTAGTGCATCTAAAACTTGGAATGTTGTCTGAAGGGGTGAAAATTAAGAAAATATCAGTGATCAGCAGCAAAATGACATCTAAGCTGTTGTTTTTTTCTTACAATACAATGAAACCAGAACGCTAAAAATAAATTTAAAGGAATGACCTACATTAACTTTACCTTTTGGAAATTGGCAAAAACAACACTAAAAGTTAGTTAGAATTGTTGGGATTTAACACAGCTGCCTCTAGGCTTAGAATTGTTGGGATTTAACACAGCTGTATTTATGGTTCGTTTGTCAAATATTAGTGGTTCTCTTACAACTAGATGTAACCAGCCTAGAGGTTTCCTCAGTCAATAATATCCGGACCAGGGTTTTTGGGACCATTAAACAAAAACAAGACAGCAGTGGGCAAGTGTCACTAAAATAAATGGAAATATGAATTTGAATGCTACTGTGCTTGAAGGTTGTTTGTCAATGTTTTGCACACAGGCTAAAGATGGAGGACAGAGCAATGCTGCAGGAAGGAAAAAGACATTGGAGCAGACCATGCAACTTGTCAACAATCAAAGAAATCCAGAAGAAAAAAGAAAGCAAAGGGTATATATGTATATATATTATACCCCCTCTTTGGATATCTATAAACCCACCCTCAAAACTCACCTTTTTAGAATGGCTCTCAACATATAATCCCCCATCACCCTGGTTGTTCTAATTTCTACTTTAAGTGATCTTGGGCCTTTAAAATATAAATCACAGTTATTAGTTTTATCATCAACAATATTAATAATATAATTATAGTTGTTAGTTACATGTTCTTCATGTTTCATAATTATTTTTTTCTCTGTTAGCTACAGGACCTCCAAGAAAAGCAGAGGATTTCAAGAGAACAAGAGCTGATGAAGCGCAGGAATTTGCAGAGTTATCAGAACGACATTCTACAGCGACAGAGACAGTTTGAACAGAGGGTAACTTAGTTCTAGTTTGTAATTCTACTGATAGAATCATTGTGTAGAATACATAAAAATGTAATAACTTGTAATGTAATTTTTTTCTTAGGAAATGGAGATGCAAAGTTTGGAGAAACATGTGAATTTTGAAAATGAAAATTCCAGAAAGGCATATTACAGAGAATTTAAAAAGGTATGTAGCTACAAACTGGTCTGTATGTGTTGAATATTTCCTCGGAACCAAGCAACTGTCATTTTGTCATTTATCTATAGGTCGTGGAGGCTGCGGATGTCATTTTAGAGGTCTTGGATGCACGGGACCCTCTGGGCTGCAGGTGTCCTCAGGTAGAGAGGGCCATCATTCAAAGTGGAACAAACAAGAAGATAGTTTTAGTGCTTAACAAAATTGGTGAGTTATACATTGGCCACGTTTTGGGTTCTTACAATTATCAAAAACCAGTGTTGTGCTCTTCGTATTATCTTGTATTTATCTTGTCTATGAATTGGTTTTAGACCTGGTGTCCAAGGAGATTGTGGAAAAGTGGATTAAGTATTTACGAAACGAGTTTCCTACTGTGGCCTTCAAAGCTTCTACTCAGCAACAGACCAAAAACTTGGTGAGAGTTTGAAATAAATATTATTTAGTTGAAAAAATATTAATTTGAAAGTTGGCTACATTATGTGAGACATCCTTAAGGCAGAGTTTTTTTTTTAACTGAGCTTAAAAAAATCCTTAAAACTTTTATTCAATCAGTTGAAAGTTGCTGTTTTGTGTTTCTAATAATGTAAACATGTGAATTGAAATTCAGTTTGTGTAGCTGTCAGAAAAGTTATCGTGATTTTTGCATCCATTTCTATTTCCTAGCGTTTGAATCCACTAAACCGCTCTGTAAGTGTAACTTGTATACTATACTTTTTACCCACTGACATGGACAGAAACGAAGTAATGTTCCAGTAACTCAAGCCACGTCTGAGCTTCTAAGCAGCAGCGCCTGTGTTGGTGCAGACTGTCTGATGAAGCTTCTTGGAAACTACTGTCGCAACCTGGACATAAAGACTGCTATCACTGTCGGTGTTGTAGGTGAGTACTCACTATAACATCAAGCATCTTTGTAGCCTCCTTAACTACATTCATAGAACTGGTCTGCCCTCCCTGGTAAATATCTGGTTCTTTTTTTTTCCTTTCTCCTCTTATCTCCACCATCCTGTTCTCACTCTATCCACCATCTTACCTTACCTTAGCTTGTCCTCACCATTTCAACGTTACCGCTGTACATTTGCTGATAAACTGCTTTGGACTTTAGGCTTCTGATCTGTTTATTTTCTGGCTCATTCACATTGGAAATAGTAATGTTTGTCTATTTCATCCGTTCACAGGATTTCCTAATGTTGGAAAGAGTAGTTTGATCAACAGTTTAAAGCGTGCACGTGCATGTAGCGTTGGAGCTACTCCTGGTGTCACTAAGTAAGTATACAATTAACATTTTCAGTTTTTCTGCACAACCTGCAATGTTTCTTATCTATGTGACCTGTGCTAGGTGTCTTCAGGAGATCCACTTGGACAAACATATTAAGCTGCTGGACTGTCCAGGCATCGTCATGGCAACTTCAACCTCTGATGCTGGCATGATTCTTCGTAACTGTGTAAAAATTGAACAGCTGGTGGATCCTCTTCCACCTGTGGAAGCAATACTGCGCCGCTGCAGCAAGACGCAGGTAGATGACGTTTTCAGACAGAACCTCTTTAATTTTGTGCCACATTGTTCCACACATTTACTTTTTTGCATTTTTTTCCATGCTTTCTTAAGCAGAGATGTAAATATTTTGTGTGGTGTTTTTTTAAAATCTGAACTCCACATTTCAGATCATGGATCACTATGGAGTTCCAGATTTTCACACAGCACTGGAGTTCTTGGCATTGCTTGCCCGGCACCAAGGCAAACTGAAGAAGGGGGGGCTGCCTGATACTGACAAAGCAGCAAAGGGTGTCCTCATGGACTGGACAGGGTGGGTAAAATTGTAAATGTGCAAACTTGTATTGTTACAGTGTGCATTTGTATCACTATGTTTATTCCAGTGTTTCATGTTGTTTAGTGGGAGAATAAGCTACTTCACGCACCCTCCGGAGACACACACTCTGCCCACACATGTTAGTGCTGAAATAGTGACAGAGATGGGTAAAGCTTTTGACTGGGATGAGTTAGAAAAAGGAAATGAGGAGGTTCTTGCAGGTAAGTTGAAAGATTGTTTTTGAAATCTTGAAAATAATAAGACGTGAACAAAAGGCCTCGCCTCCTTTTACACACACTAATCTGCATATTTATTGAAATCCAGCTTGAAGAAGCATTGAAATTGGTCCTTTGCATCAGCAAGAACAAAAAATAAAATATTTGTAAATACTTGGGACAACCCCACTTTAGTTATTCAAGTGTTAAAAGTAGCCAACCATCTGCACTCAAAGTTTTAATTTTATTTTCTATTTCAGGATCATCGTGTCCGGACGTTCAGATGGGATTCTGCATGGAAACTGCAGGAATGACACAAGGAGATCAGGGTGACCTTCCTCCGACATTGGAAATGGACAGAGGATTTGAGGATCAGCTGGAGGTCCTAAAAGATGCAAGTGAGTCCATGGAGGAAGACCAAGACCCAGAGGTGAGAAATGTTTCACAATTCAGCTTAAGAACTGAATCCATCTACCGTAAATACAGGCTTGTTGATCATTTTGAAAATTCTTCCTGCTCAAAACAGTTTGGCCCCATGACCGTAGAGATAAAATCACAGAAAGTTAAGACTGCTGCTAACGAAGCTCCACCCAGAGCTCCAAATCTAAAGGAAATTGTGGATGTAGATCCTTTACTGCAAGGTCAGGCACTATTGGCCGCTGGCAAGAAGAGGAAGAAGCAACAGAAAAGAGCTGGTTTGTATAAAATACAACATTTATATGTCAATAAAGTAAATTACTTAGTTTGGTTTGCGATTTTTTTAAAAATTGTTTAATAATCTGTTCTTTATTATTTAAGTAGGTTTTTTTTTTGTAATTGGGCAATACAAGTCTCAAAAGTTATCAAATGAAACAAATATCTTCAGTTATTTCTTCACTCCTTTTTGGGTGTATTTATTTCATCTTTGCATAATTTTTTTTTAAAATTTAAATTTAACTGACATTTTTGTCTAATATTGGACAATAAAACTAGGATGTTTTATTTACATGATCTTTCTCTTTTTCTCCTTCTCTGTAGATAAAATTGCCACCAAGCTCTCAGACAGCCTGACAGCTGCCATGGATTTTTCATTTTCTGACAGCTGAATGAAATTAAAAGAAAATCTTCTCTGTCTTTTGGTGTATTTTGTCTTATAGTTTTTCTTTCCATTCGTCCATTCATTTATTGTCTATGGCTTATTCATTTGCAAAGTTGTCACTATTTTAAACTATTTTAAAATGATGAATACACATGCACCCGAGGGGCATTAATCTTTTTAAATGCCTTTTTATATCTAAGAAATGTTTTTTGTTAGTTTTGCTTATTACACATTGGTAATCTCTTAGTTTTGGATTTTTAACCAACTTTCAGATATTTTGCGATCTTACTGTAAAAAAAAGTATTTAGTATTAACATGTTTGTGCTGTATATCACAGTGAAAAAACAGGAAGAAGGTCAGTTTTATTATGAATTTTAAAAACTGTTGTGTTTTGCGCGTGCGCGCGTGTGTAGACTGCCTTCAGCGCTGTCAGGCCTCAGGAGGTAAACACCGCTGTCACCGAGTGTTCAAGACTCTTCCACTGCCTGATTCCACCGGCTGAAGGACATGGCCCAGACAGCGGAGCACCTCCATTGTTTACGGATGTTATTACTCTGAACAAACGTCTTACAATAGTACGTCTTTTCCTTAATTATTTGTTTTTATTCCTATCTCAACGTTGACATGAGGGACAAGTAGCCGGTGTTAGCCACTTAGCAGCTAAAGTAGCAGCAGCAACTTCCTATTTTTGTGTCAGCCCTGTTTATGTTTAGACGCCACGAAATTAAACACGGCGGTTTAAATGAGTTCTGACATGAATCTCCCTTTAAAGAACTCTAAGTATTTTGTGTGCGCCATCAGTAAACCTCTGTTAAATCCGCTAGTTTCAAGCGAAAGCCAAAATGAGAGATTACGAAAACAGCTAAAGACAGGCTAACTCAGTTACCCTGTCTAAACAGTTACATGTACAACTCGCAACTAATATGACATACAACAAAGAAGGACTTTTGCTGTCAGAATGGTTTGCAGGAGCTGGATTTAAAGAAGCGGAGTACAGAAAAGCTATCCCCACATAAGTCAAATGATATCCTAGCGGCAATGTTTTTTAAGTGAGCACTTAAACACAGCAACTTAGAACCTACTGGTTTACATTAAGAACTTTAACGAAGGAACTTATATAATTCGTTATAGAAATAAATGCCACAGTCACAATATATATTGAATAAACTGACCTATTTGTTTACCATAGTTGTCGTTCATAGGACGTTTTGTCATATTAGTTTAGCTGTTAGTTCAAGGCAAGGCAAGAGCTTCAAAAATCAGATTGGTCTGTAGAAGAGAAAAAATAAATTCCAACTACTTAACATAAATGCTTTTGGATGGCTGAAAAGAGGAAAGGAAGAGGAAAGACAAGCTGGAATTTTCCTGTGCCACATTTTCAGACAAGTTGTCAGCAAAGGATTTTACTGTGAAGTCACAGACAAGGAGAGTAGTAAATTTAACCTAATTATTAATTAATAATAATTAGCCTGACCTAATTTCTTTTAGCAACATCCTCCACAAAAATTACACAGAAGCAAATGACTGGAGGAGAAAAATAGAAACATCAAATCCCCGCAACAAAACATTATTACATGAGTATAATAAAGGGTAAAAATACCTATGAAATTCAGAGAAAAGACTGAATTATAATACTTAGAAAATATAGGACCAAGTTATTAAGACCAAAATATATTTGCTCACATTAGTGCACTGTCACAACATACTAGTGGGTCATTTATATATTAAAAAAATAATGCAAACTTCAATACATTCTGGTGAGTACATTAAGTTTGTTATAACTGCATTAGATGCTGTGGGGCAAAAATAACTCATGTTTGCCTGTCAGAGATGCAAAACAGAGTGATGTAAATACCTGTTGGTTCAAACATATGTACTGTCTGCATCACCATCCTCTGAGGTTCTCAGACATTGACTGCATTTTTAGGAAGTGAACTGTCAGTTCTAGAAATTAAATTTTTCTCTAAGTGTAAACCTAAATATGCCACAAAGTTTGCTTAAACTCTTGAATGTCAGTTAACCCATTTGCAAAAAAAAGAGAAGTTGAAAGTGAAATTAGAAATGAGAAGTTCCATGTCATGTCTTATGGTGTTCAAAAATAAAACTAAATCAGACATCACACAGAGTTTCATTTAACATCTGTGAATAACACAATTATTAAGATGATATATATATATATACATAGATTATACATTATACATACACACACACAGTGTTTTTTTACCTGAACTGAAGTCACTTATATTAGTTGATTCTATTCAGTCTCTGTGCTGTTTCTAGGTGGTACTTGTAAAAACAGGTCATTGAAACTGCTCTGCCTTCTGTGCATGTTTACGATAATAAGGGTTCATTTGGGTGGATGAGGATCTACAACATATTTTCTTGTACTCTCTTTTACAAGTGTTAACTATTATATTGGTTATATGGAGAGAGGAAAAAAAACATGTTTTGCAGTTGTTGATTTAGACATTACAATGAACAGTCTGATAGACTACCTGAAAGTATTCTACTCTTCTGAATTAGAGTGCCTTCTTTAAAAGCACTCACCTGTTTATGTTGCCATTAGTTGTAACATTACATGTGCACTTCAAACGACCAAACAGTAAGTCTAATCTCATTTTATATTTCAGCTTCTTCTTTAGATCTGCATCGCTCCATCTTTAGCCATGTCGTCCCGTGTGCTGCTGCGGCAGCAGCTGATGCGAGAACAAGCCCAGGAGCAGGAGAGACGTGAAGCCCAGAAGCAGGCCTCTGCCTCTCAGCTTCGGCCTTGTGATTCCACTCCAGCCATCTCTGTCACACTTCCCCAAAATGCTGCCCGATCCTCTCCAGCACAGGTGCCTGTGGAGGTGCTCAAGGTAAGCTCTGCCTGGTTTGGGTCTTAATCAGCCTTCTGTTCGTAATACAGGCATCACAATTTTGACATGAAAAGTTTTTAACATTTGTAATTTTGAGAGTTTCTCTTGCAGTAATATCTTTTTATTTTATTGTAACGTCATTTTAGTTACATTATACTTATGACTTTGCTGTAGCCTTTCAGTACAATTTGAAGTAGGGCAGTAGTGGCCTGGTGGTTGAGGAAGCGGACTTGTGTTCGGAAGGTTACAGGTTCGAATTCACCAGGTGCCACTGTGGTGCACTGAGCATAGCACCGTCCCCACACCTGCTTGAGCTGCCCCTGCTCACTAACGTGATGAAGCAGAGAACACATTTCATTGTGTGTGTGGTTCATTCATAGTAAACCAAACCTGAGGGAACTAACGAACCAGACAAACCTGCTTAAATGATTGAATTTTAGTTTAAACATACCGAAATCTGGCTTGAGGTTGTGAACTAATAAGTCTAATCTTCTCAACAAGCTTTACTCTCTCTTCTGTACTGTTTGCTGTTCTCATTAGTGCTAAACACATTTTCTGCAGTCAATTGCTCAGCATCAGAACAGCATTTTAAAGAACTATGGAGACCTGAGAGTGTCTTGTTAATTTAAGAGCTTCTTCTAAAGTTTGAACATTTTTCTGGACTTGGTCCATATCTACAAAGAGGGGCAATCATTTGTTAATATATAAAAGTAGTTATGACAATATTTATAACCACTTTTTTAATGATCAGGTGCAGACCCATTTGGAGAATCCCACCAAGTACCACATCCAGCAGGCCCAAAGGCAGCAGGTGAAGCAGTATCTCTCTACCACACTGGGCAACAAGGCAGTCACTCAGTCATTAGGTGTGTCGCCTGTACCACAGTCCAGTTCTGCCCCTGAAGTTGCCCCGATTGCCATCAGTGCTCCTAATAGTCCTATGGCTCTGCTCAACATCGGCTCCAGCAAGGAAGAAGTGAGTACAAGAAAAACTGTTGGTCTGTGGGTTTGGTTTTGCCAGAAAGCAGGTTACACAACTGTGCTAAAAGTAGCTTTTCTGCAAGACACAGGGTGATTTGTGCTCAGTTCTGTTTTAATTACTTTTTTGTTTGTTCTGCAGTGAAATGCCCAAGGTTCCCAGTGTAATGAAGCATGCCCTCTGCTGTCACAGCAGTGTTGACCTGTTGTCACAATAGGATGTCAAATATTACACTCACAGTTTAAGCATGCCAGTTCTGCCCCTGCACAATTTAGTTCCTTTGAAATCAGGGCTGTTAATTTAGGGATATGTTTTATTATAGTGTTTATTCTTGATGGGTCATTATTATGTAATAAATAGTTGACATATATTTACACATTACAAACACTAAATTCTGACTGTAATCGATCTAGAATTATCTAATAAAAGTGACATTTTACCTACATACACAGTAGCTTATACTTTATAAACATTTAAGTTGGTTAAAATCTTACAATGTGTTTATTAATATTCTGTAATTTGGTAATAATTAAACTTGAAGTTTCTATTAAATGACCTTTCCTAACAATTTGTGACCTAATTTGTTGTCATGCAAGTGTTAAGTTTGGATTTATTGATTGCAAAAAAAACAAAAACTTATTGCAACCAATCCTGACGAGGAGGTTGCAGTGAGTTTGGTCAGACAAGTTGGTTAGTCAGTAGTTGTCCCTTCCCCATTTTAAAGACCAGCACACTTGTTTGCATTGTAGTGTGTTCTGTTTTTTTTTTTTAAATGACCTCATACCATTGCTGTTTTTTTTTCATCTGTTTTGTCTAGATTGACGATGTGATCGATGACATCATTAGTCTTGAATCCAGTTTTAATGATGACATCATTACCTTGATCGACTCAGGCCTTCAGTTACCCAGCACGGTATGAAAAACAATGTGTGGATTGAAACCCTGAATACTTCCTCTTTCATGTTCCCTCTCAGGTTTCATTCTCCCCTAACTCTGTAATGGCAGGTTAACGCATATGCAGATCAGTCACATTCACTTTTTTTTAAATTCTTCTCTGAAATACTAGAAGCAAACACACATTTTTGACACTTGGTTACTATTCGTCACAGAAGTGCTGTCTGGGCGGAGATGAAGCCGAAGGCTACAAAACAGGGAGATGTTAAACAAAGTGGATTGTGCTTACTTTGAGGAAAAAAGGCAAACGTTTTTTCACTAAAGAGAGGGTTCCACAATTTAATAACCTTGCTTGGGAAACATAAAATGAGGATTATGGTGATGTTTTTGGAGGAACAGAAAAAGAATCATGTTGAGGTAAAGCTTGACTATTGTTTTTTAGCTGTTTCTAAATGTTATTCGGTTGGTTTTGGGATACTTCTTCTTTGTCTTTTTTTTTTAAATCTTCCTTTGTATCCGTTGACAGTTGTGCAGCAGAACATTCAGCACAATGAACTGGCAGAAATGAGTATTAGCAAAATGTTGAAAAATTGTCTTTCTTATAATTTTGCCTTAAGCTTTTATGTTTAACATCTTAAAGTTTGCGCACCAAAGTGCCCAAATTACTGCTGTTTAGTGTGTAAACAAAAAACAAAAGTTAATGATTTATTTAATGTTTAATGTTAATTTCTACAAACTGACACAGTAATTATTCTAACAGAAAGAGTTTTTAAATTACAAAAATACCACATGGACATGTTTAGATGGCCTGTTGTCCCGGGTCTGCATACGTTACGCCATGAATGACTTTCTCAGAAAATTTGGCAAAACCTTTTTTTTTAACAGTCCAAAAAAACTTAACATCTGCTATTAGTTTCATCTAATTTTTGAGAAAGGAGAAGAAAGAATTATACTGGTTGCACTGAATGGAAATAGCTGTTGCAAGGACTAAAGGGTAAGGATCACCTTTGAAACTGAAGAGTCATGGGTCATGAGTCATTTGGACTAAATATGTAATTGTGAAGAAAACAATGTTCTGTCAGTGTAGAACATAAAAGAAAAAGTAATGCACACTACTATATTGACACATTCTCTGTTGTGTCTGTTGTGTTTTTAGCTCCCAGGAATGTTAAATGTGTACCATAGCCCTGGAATGGCAGCGCCCACGATGACAGTCAGTAACTCCTGCCCTGCTGATCTTCCAAAGATAAAAAGGGAAATTACTGGTAGAGTAACATATTTTTCATGAGCCTTTATTCTTGTCCTTTAAGTATGAGGAGAAAAGAATATCTTGTGTTTTTGTTGGTGTCAAGTGTTGGATTTCATTTCACTTTGTGACATGCTTTGTTTTTTTTCTCAGAAGCAGATGCTAAAGCCTTGATGAAAGAAAGGCAGAAGAAAGACAACCACAACCTCAGTGAGTGGACTTGAATTTTGCATTGTAAAGTGAAACTTAAGCTACTTTTACATTGGAAAGTACCAGGGTTATCTTGAAATACAATATTTCCAGGAAATAAAACTCACATACTGTACATACTGTAATTACCTATGTCACTCACCTACACTAACACAGTGGTAATATCATAATCTAGGTCATAAAAACACCAGAAGAGTCTGACTGTAAAGCCAATGGACGGTCAAAGCATGTCAATAGCATGGTGCAATTACTCCTAATATTCCTAGAGCTCAGTCCCCTGCTCATTGGTAGTGCTAGTTTTGAATAGAAACATTGTAAAGACATATCTACAGGTTACCATTTGTATCCCTAATTTCTTTTGTCACCTGCTTGTTTTCCTATAAACGCAGTTGAGAGGAGGAGAAGATTTAACATCAATGACCGTATAAAGGAGCTGGGTACTCTCATCCCCAAGTCCAGTGACCCGTGAGTGCAGTCTGATTTTCGTTACTTTTGTTTTGATTTGCATGGCAAAAATATTGGTTTTTTGCAATTTCATCTTGTTATCTATTGTTGTTTACATTCCTCACTTTCCAACATTGCCTCCATATTGTTTAATGGATGTTGACAACAGGGAGATGCGTTGGAATAAAGGCACCATTCTGAAAGCTTCTGTGGACTACATCAGGAAGTTACAGAAAGAGCAGCAGCGATCCAAAGACATTGAGATGAAACAAAAAAAGCTGGAGCAGGCAAATCACACGCTGATGTTACGCATCCAGGTCACTATCATCTCAGCAACAGAACAACATAATGACCTTAGACAGTCTTATTTGTACTTAAGCAGTGTTACATTTTTTATTTACCCATCACATGTTAACAAATGTTTTTCAGTTTTACCTCAGATTTCTCAGGAAAACAACGGATTGTTACAGAAAACTATCAAACACATTATTAATTTATTTTTATTATATATTAATCATTATATTCTTCTGAGTAAAGCAAAAACTTTGATTTATGTTAAGAAATAGATTTAGGTGAAAGAATATTGAATATCTCTGGATATTAAGCTTTTGTTGACTGCCTGTCTGTTAAAACAGTTAAACATTGATCTTGTCCCAATACACTTTTATTATATTCAAAAAATTGACCCCATCCCTTTTACCATCTTTATCTTCACACGTCATGTTAATATGAATTGGTCTTATTGCCCACAGGAACTGGAAATGCAAGCAAGGCTTCATGGCCTCCCCAGTTCTTCAAGTGCCTCCTCTTCCCTGAGTGGCGAGGCCTCCACTCTGCTGCAGCAGGCTCTCTCGCGGGGGGGGCAGGCTTTTCCTGCCACTGCCGGAGGAGTTGGGGGGAAAGGATCCTCCTCTCAGAACATCCTCACCCTTGGAGGTGTTGGACAACCTTTGCAAGCTTCCTTTCTCTCTCCACCGTCCTCAGACTCTCCTGCTGCAGTCACCATCAGTAGCCCGCTAGACTTGGGCAGCCTGAGTTTCGCTGAGCTGGACGACCCGTCAGCCTCGGCCCTTTACTCCAGCGTCAGCTTAGGAGACATTTTAATGGGCGATGGATGCACCCTTTCTCCCGAAAGGGAGGGCGATCCACTATTCTCTCCTTTGTCTCCGGGTGCCTCTAAAACCAGCAGCCGCAGAAGTAGCCTGGAGATGGATGAAGACTTGTGATGGGCCCTGTGTGGTGGTCAGTGACCTGTCAGTGGTTTTTCTTGAAGTGAACGATCCTTGTTGGTGTGCTTCTAAAGAGACAAAGCAAGAGTCCCTAGTGGCATATTTGGAATTTGTCAGATGAACTGTCCTGTAAATGTTTGAGTGTTCTTTCTGTTGGTCGTTGTGGGTAGTTCTGCTGCACTGACTCAACGCAAAGGATCTTGAAAAGAATTCAGCAATTTTCATAATCTTTAAGAACCAATATTAGTTATTGCAGACAAAAATGTCAAAAGGTGCAGTCCATCAGCAGATGCTAGTCTGTTAATACCTAGTTTTAAAATCACAGTTAGCTCATATTTAGATGGAAATTAACAGAAATTTAGAAACACAAAAATATATGTTCTTTCTGTAAAGACGGATTTACAGTTGTTTCTATATGAAGAATATATGGATTTATAAGTGGAAGTTTAATCTAGATAACTATTGTACATAGATTAAGGCATGCATTTAGAATAATGCAATATTACATTATGATGGAGACTTTACATTTTTTTTAGATACATAACAGGGATATGAGGCTGGCTTGAATTTATTACAGCAAACCTTTTTTAATCAAGCTGTGATGTTTGGTTGTTTTTTTTACAGTGGCTTAGCACAGTTTTTACAAGAAGCCAAAATAATATGTATTTTTGTTTTTAACTAATTAGAATCAGGGTTTGTTAAAAGCAGTCACTGATGTTGGACTCTTCCACCAGCAGCAGCAAAAGGGAAACTTTTTGTAGAGGAAATATTGTGGAATATTTCCTCTACATTGTACATGAAAAATGTATTGTTGCACCTTAACTTTATGGCAGTCTATGCATTTTAATGAGAAGTTTTGTCTTCCACTCATATATCGTTTATAAGACATGGCTGTGGCCCCCTGGTTTCACAGGTGAGTATGCACAAGAAGAGCAGCATTTGAGAATCAGCTACATCTAAGTAGCACAGGTGCTAGGTTCTTATTCAATGGAATGCGACTCCTAATTTTACACACAGGGCATTTAGTTATTTTGAAAGAAAAAAAGTTCACGCTTAATGTTTAAATTATCAGGATTTTCTCTCTGCTAATTTGTAGCTATTCAAAGGCTGATCATAGTTCATCAAGGAAAATATTTTTTTCCATTTTCTTTTATTTACCAGGGCTACAACAAATGCTTTTTTTAATGGGTGACAATTCTTTTATTCTGTTCATTAAACAAGTAGTTATTTGGTCGGATGTGAAGATAACTAAACGGTTGACACACACAATGCTGAAATTAGATTTTTTTTTAATTAATAAGCAGTAATTAACACTTAAACACTTCATTTCCGATTCCAATATCAACCGATACCGATATAGGCCTGCTAATATTTATTAATTTATCTGTACAAACCACTGATGAATATGAGATTAATTAAATGAGCTGTAATGCTGCCATCTAGTACATACAGCTGTTTATCCCCAAAACTATTTTTAGGCCACACATCATTTGGTGAAACCCTGGCATTGTGTTATCGGTTTTCATTATCTGAAAAACCAATAACAATTCTTACAGATATTACATAAAATGCAATTATCAGTTGATAATGTCAGCCGACCAATATTGTCGGACGTCCCTAATTGCTACTCAATGTGGGAGGAAAGTAGTCAAAAGCCCAATAGGAAGTGTTGTTTATTATGACATCACATCTCATTGATACCTGTCACTAGAGGGTGTTATTTCTATGATCATTTAGCATTTGTGCTTTATGTTAGATTGCAAATTAAAACAAATAAACAAACAAAAAGCTGATACAAGTGATTAAGACTAAAAGTCTTGGAGGAAATCCAAAGCCATCATTTCTAAGGATGGTCTCAAAGCAAAGCTTTTTTACTAAATGTATAAATGCCAAAACCCTTAAAAGGAATTGTAAGACCCACATAATTAATTAATTATCTGTAAATCTAATCTCCAGAAAATACTTGGACTTTACTTTGTGAAGAACAGCAGTAAATAAGTTTCCAACTGGGCAACAGTTAAAACGGAGCTGAGCTGGACAAGAATCTTGTTCTTCTTGAAATGAACTCAAAGTTAAACACTCCCTTTTATTACTGCTTTCTCACTACTAGCAGGAAATGATACGTGGTTCTTTTGTCTTGTATGAAGTCATGCAGAGTTTTCACAGATTACATGACAGACGACATGGTTGATTTTCCAAAACAATGCTGGTTGTGGGGGAATGGACTCATTTTAACTCCACGTGGCTCTGCAAATGCTTTGTTGTTTATTTTGTTCTATTACACTAAACACTCTCAAGTTTGTCCATTACATGGTGTTAAGAGTCATATTGTCTGACAGCTTTTGTGTTTTAAATTTGGATTGATGTATTTGGTCAGTTGGCTTTCACATATGAAGTGAACCATACCAGTTTGGAGGCTGATGAAGAGCAGTCTATTAGAAGTCCTTGTTCTTCTGATTTGTGTGCATCAGGGTTGAGATGGTAGCACTCACATTATTTGAGTAAATCTCACTATTTGAGGAACCACACTGAGAATTGTTTTATCCACACAGAACTGATAAATGTAAACATTTCAGTTGTGTTCTGACCAGACAACAGAATCTTCTTGAACCATTTTTTATAAACCCTAACAGCAGTCCAAGCATAAACAAGTTTATTGTCTGCAAACAATCATTTTTCAGTTCTACTTAAGTTTAAAACGATGTTATAACGGATGAAATTCTGCTGCAAATTGGAAGGCATGTCCTCTTCCATTAGCACTCTTCCATGCTATGCCATGAAATTCCTAATTCCTATGTAAGTCTGAATAATTAAAAGCCGTACACCCTAGCTTATTTTTAAAAACCTGTGTGATGAAAGATATTTTTCTGACTTGTATCTTGTGTTGTCAGAAAAAGTTTGTCTCAGTTAACATTGGTGATCACTGAGTGATTGTTTTTATATGCATGTTCAAATAGGATTGTTTTTTCCTTTGTGATCAAAGTTTATACAGTACTGTGCAGACGTTTTAGGTGAACATGTGCATCCTTTGTCCAGTATTTAAAGCAAATGTGGAGAACCATAAGGCACTGCCAACCACAGACAGCCAATAACAACCTGGACTAGAACTGTTCATTCATGACACAGGGCTAATTTCCCAGCCACAGAGAGGTGACCTCACTGATGAGAGCTTCCAAGAACAAGTTCTTAAACAACCATTGGATTTATCCCCAACACCTCAGGATGGCTGGAAATATGAATTGGTAAACATGAAATTCTGGTTCTTTTACTTTGATTTATATATCTGAAAATGACAAAGGCAGCATATAGTGAGGGGTATAGTGTAGCACACACCTAACTTATCTTTGCACTGTATTTATAATGATGGTTTATGACTCACTGTACTGTGGGTCCAGAGGCTTCTTGAAAATCCAACCACTATTCTCAGCTCTTTAATGAAGAGTTAATGTTAAACACGAACTCCAGTTAGTCTCTGTTCTTACAGAATCATGAGTTCAGTCTCTGATAACAATTGAGTCGACAAATGATCCAACCCACAGAGTTGTTGTGCTGGCTGTGAACGCAGCCCGGTCACCTACAGCTATCCATGCACAAAGTCAAGTATAATGTAACATGACCCTACACTAACACTACTGGATATATATGTATATATATATATAGTTAATGTGTCATAATAACTAAAAGTTTTCACAACCATTTGTTTTTCCTTCCTGTCAACTTTCTTGTTTTGTATATAAATATCTAAATTCTAAGCAATGACATTAAGAGACTTTTTTTAAAAACAAACAACCAACCATTGGTCATTTAAACTACTTAAACTCCAAACTTTAGCTTGTACAGTATGAAACAATAGAGGGATGTGAATGCATACTACAAAATCAGGACTGGAGGACATATAAGAATTGTGGTTTGTATTGAACACAGTCTCCTTTTATTTCTTTTTTGTCATTTTGACGTCATTGCTCAAACCCTAACTTCAGAGTTTGAATTGAATACATTTTGTCAGCTTCTAATCACTGTCAAAAACACTGGCCATTAGTTAGCCTGACATATATCACAGATTGTTTTACCATTTACCCAACTTGTCTTGTCCCTTCAAGTTCACGTAATGAGATTTTAACAAATAAATAAATGATTTACAAGAGCTACTGTCAGAATGTGGTTCATTCAGCTTGTTTTTAAGTCATTCTAAAGTGGAATCGTTTGAATGAACTAATTATACAAGCTGTTTTTATACTGTGGTGTTATTAATGTATTTTATGTTTCAGTTTAGATATGTTGACCATGATAAGATGGCAGTTTTTTTAAAAGGCAATTGGCAAATGGTCAGTTCAATCCACACGTCTAACTATATAGCTATCTTGTATATATTTGTTATATTTTGGCTAACTTCACATTTATTTTAGTTTGACTCAAAAGTGTTTTCATTGGGGGAAAATTGTCCCATTTGTTGTTTAATATTTATTAAACTCTGCTCTAAGAACTTAGTGGCCTGAGTTTTCTGTAGCCTTGGAAGACAGAAATGAGTTAATGTTGGACATACAGACCTACGTTTATCTTCATGTTTTTAAACAGGAGTGGGCTCATCATAAACCAGGACATGTAGTTTCAAAGGCCATGCTTAATGATCGTCAGATTCCACAAATTGTCAAACAATCGAACTATCCCTGGTGCTGTTGCTGTTGAGTGAGAAGAGATATTAGTGTATGCAGAGCTATGGCATATCTTTAGGTGTTTTATTAAATAGTTTGAGTGCTTGATTGCTTGAATACACTCCCTAATAGTGTTGCTAATTGGAAATTTACATACAAATTTGTATGGTATATTTTATACACAAATTTACTTGGTGTTCATTTTATTATATTTCATCTGCTGTACATTTAAAATGAATACTTTTTTCTCTCAATAGCTCTTTTTAAGAGTTACTCATGGGCTCATCCTCACTAACTTAAACTGAAACTTAAATAGTTTGATATTAACTTTTAACATAATTACTTCTAGAATAACTAAATCTGTAAAATACACCAAAATTAGCTAAATTAATATAATAATGTCCAAAAGTACAATGTCAGCCATGACCTTAGACAACTTGACATTAGTGAAAGCACAGCTATAGTAAAAGCTACAATTAAAATGAATAAACTTAAACCAAGTAATAACAACGTTTTGTACGTTTTGAAAAACGTCTTACAGTTGATTGGAAAATGAAGATGACGACCGGAAAAAAATATTTAAAGTTAATCCAAAATAGTCAACCGTTGGACAATATCGTGGGTTAATTGCGGCTGACGTCTTGTGTGATTCCTCCTAATCAGAGGGGGCGCTGTATTTGTGTTTGTGTTAAACCGTCAGCCATCTGCCGCAGTTACTTTAGCTCCAGTGAGGATGGAAAATGGAGGACAGACCCATGAGATAACCCAGGCGTAAACGTCGTTATTTGTGAACTGCTGGTGGGTAGAATGTACTTATTTTGAGTGTTAGCAATGTGGTCGTTGTATTGCAATTGCTTTGGGAAAAAAACCCCAAACATTTTCTGTCCTGCTGTTCTCAAAATGGACGCAAAATAAACCGCGACAGGCTTCACGAAAGCGTTACAACTTAACTACGTTTTGACATTTTACTTAGATAACATATTTTGTATGTTTGGAATTTGGCACTGTGTCTATTGTAACCCATTGTACACGTGATTTGCACCTGTCAAAAATAAGTCGAAAATACCTTGAAATCCTCCATAGGCTCGCCCTCGCTCGTGGTAGCTAATTATGCGTTAGCAAACGTGGCTAGTTCGCTACAGGTGCTAATTTGAAAATACATCTATCAAAGTCGAATAAAAACGAACACACAGTTCTAAAACAGACATAATGCGATTAAATGTAACCGAATATCAATACCAGATTTTTTTTAAATTAAGTAATGCGTTTGATTTGTCGATCATGGTTTTTCTAACTGTGGCTAAGCTAGTTCATATAATAGTTGTTGACGTCGTACAAAAGACATTTTCAAGCTACCCAAACTCGCTTATTTGTGTAAATGCATTTAATGCATACGTTCTTTTTAAATATTTACATTTGATATTAACATAACGTGATAAAACGCGCCCCTCGACTATGTGCATCTACCATCCTTGACAGAAGCAGCAACCGTTTTCACGCCAACACTACAACATAGTATAACAGTCTAACGGCACACGTTGCAACGAGTAATGTATTTGTTGTCTCCAGGTAACAGAAAAGAAACATTCTAAAATGTTTAGTCAAGACTCCCATTTGTCAGCTTTCCCTGTCTTCACTGTCGTGACCACTAAATCGCTATATCCCGCTTTAGCCGAGCTAGGCTAATCACCGCATTGGTTTAAAAGGCGGATCAATTTCTTCAAAATCGTTATTTAAGCACTTCTATAAAATCAGCCCAGATATTTATTTATTAACCAGTATTTGTAAAAGGAATGTTATACCGGAAATTAGTAGACGTTACGGAAACGCATAAAAAGTTACACGGCACGGTTTAGTACAAAATAGGTCAAACCTCTATACCTTTAGCCTAGAAGATAATTAGGTAAAGGTAAACAAAGCTTAGTGAAAGGAGTCGGAATCGTCTGTTTGGCATTTTTTCTATGAATTTAATGGCGTCAATTTTAATCTGAACACTCCAAGGACGGGTTACTGTTATTGCAGGATTAACACATTGCTTTTAAAAATGTATCGTTTTGCTATGCTATTTTGCTGTTTTATTAGCATAGTCTTGATTTTCTGCCAGAATCACTCGCAGTTTTGTTCTTTTTCTAAACCATAATATTACATTAGGACCACAAGTCTTATTTATAAAAAAGAAATGCAAGAGATTTTCTTTTTGGTTGTTGCACTCCGGTTAAATAGATTTCCCCTTAAAGCATTTTAGAAAGTGCATACAAAAGACAAATAATTCTATATCAAGTTCTGCAGTGTCGTTTAGGAATTTGTCCCTCACGGTTGTATAATAATTGGATAAAAGCCCCATTTATAACGTTTTCTGGTTTTCTAGCCTCTAAGGATTTATTATGGATATTAATAATTAATGTTAATACTTTAAAGGCTTAATTATTGAGCAGTTTTATTATTCTTACTGTAAATTTATCTTTTATAATAAGAAAACAAATTAGGCAGATATTGTGTAAGTATTTGGTGTATAACTGGTTTGGATTTTCACTTTTAAGAGTCGGTTGTTTACATGGCATCAATATGGCTCCGAATCCCAATTCTGGGCTCACCCTTATGTTATAACAAGGATGGAGAACTGCATTCTTACCTTATACAGGTCCCAGAGTAGAGAGCACCTTTACACCAGTAACCCTGCTCAATGCCACACAGTGGTGGAAACCCATGCCCCTTCTTATTTGGCTATCTGATGTGCTACACTTAGTTATCTTTTGAGTTTTGGGTTGTTGTTTTTTGTTGTTAAGTGCATTGAAATATTTTTTATTCTAGAGTAGATTTTGCTTTGCTAGTTTTTTTACCTCTGATGTACAATGATTTTTTTTCTTCATCATATGCATGTGTTGTTTCCAATATCTTGGCAGTGTTAACTTTTAAACAACTATAAAAATTACAACTAAGTGGTACTAGGTATGGTTGTGTTACATTTGAGATAATTAGGGTTGATAAAACTAAAAAAAAGATAGAAAAACTCAAATAAGGATTTTAAAATATTGATCACTGAAATGCATTCATCATCTAAATCATTCAGTAAGTTTTTGGTCAAGTCACACTTGATTTATGTGATTACAAGCTATGATTTTGTTTTCAACTTCTTTCTGCAGGTGTTCAAAAAATTTGAACTAAAAACAAAAATGGGGCACTAGAAGATTCTTCCCAGGACGACAGCACATCACGAGGACTTAGACCTTTCTGTTGCTCATCATTTGCAAAGAGCCAAATGCCAGTTGAGACAGCAGCCAATATGTCAGAAAACCGTGCTGTACGGCGCAGTGGAAGACAGGCTAAGCGTACAGACAAACTTGAGGAATTCCTATTGACTGCCAAAAGAGGAACAAGAAAAAACTTTCCTGTCTCCTTAGAAAGTGGTGATCCTCCTTCCCAAAGCCCAACTGATGCAGAGACTACATCAGAGGCCAGCTTTGATGGAAGTGCTGATAACAAAGCTTTAGAGTCTCCAGAAAGAAAGACAAGAACCAGGACAAGGAAGTATATTCCCAGGAAAACCCGAAGTATTAGGCAGACAAGACGAAGTGGTGCAGGCAATGACCAGGCAAGCTCTGAGAATGAGGATGACAGCAAAGACTGTGCTATGACTGACCAATCACAGGGTGAAAATATAGAGGAAAGTGTTAAACAAAGTGACACAAGTTGTGAAAATGTAGTGAGTACAACTACCACAGAGTCTTCTCCACAGCTTGTTGCTGACAGTAACAAGATTGAGGAAAAAGACACGCATACTGAAGAGCAGGATAAGGCAGATACAGAGGACGAGACTTCGGAAAATGTGGACAAGCCTGCAACAATGGTTGTAAAACGTGGGCCAATAAGAACCTATGTGAATAAAAAAAAGGCAACTAGTAAGAATACTGCTCCTGCTAAAACTCCTGTTCTTGTGAACAAGGGCATGGCTCCTCTCAAGAGGGAAACTAAACCAGCAGCACCCCAAGCTGCTGGAAAACCTCAGGAGGTCAACACTGAAGATGATGACGATGAGGAAAATGACTCCATATCATCCTCATCTTCATCGTCCATTGAGTCTGATGATGGAGGATATGACCCCGATGCGCTTTACTGTATCTGTCGGCAAAAACATAACAAAAGGTATGATCATTTATTGTTTTATACATGTATATTGTTATGAATACTATTTTCTATCATGTATTCCTTTGCAGTATATATTGTTTCATTTAGTTCCCAGCAATTTATCATGTAATCTGATAGGAATGCTATTGAGTTTTGTCTTTATAGTTGTTGCTGAAACAAACGATCATACTGCTGTTTGACAGCTTGCTGTCTCAAGCTAAAAAAAAGCAAATGACTTGACCTGTCGAATCTTAGAAACTAATTTGAGTCAGAATCTTTGCTCTCCAAGTAAAATTGCTCATACAAGACATGAAGACTGACCCACACACAAATAAATAGTTTCTGTGTCTGGCAGTGTGTGTGTTAGTGTAAAATACAGTGGAACCTCTGTTTTCGAACTTAATCCGTTCCTGAAGGCAGTTTGTGAACTGAAAAGTTTGAAAACTGAAACAATTTTCCCCATAGGAATCAATGTAAAATGGATTAATCTGTTCCTGGACATTTTCAACAATAATTTGTGTATAGGTTCATACATGAAACCAATGAAAGTGATTAGATCTAACAAAAAAGATGAACACAACTGAATAAAACTATAAATAGGTAAGGCAATTTCATTCATCCTTACCTATGCAAAGAAGTGTTGATTGGCAAGGTTTGCTTCGCTTTCTCACAAATTGTCTCTGAAATACTGTCGTCGGCCAACTGCTTTTCGTTGATCCAAATCAGTAGCAACATATTAACTTCTAATGTCTGAGATGTTTGCTTGGTGATCATAGTCACTCCTTTGGCAACCTTAGCTTCTTTTATTGCTTCCATGTTTTAAATGATGGTACAAATCAACAACAAAGCCATATTGTAAAACCACATCTGAAACACGAGCGCCATTATCTTGCTTTTGTATGATCTTTCTTCTCTTCTATTACTGTGTCACTATTTTTGTTTCAGCCTTTCCATTGTCATTAGCTTTTTTAGGTCCCATGGTGATTTATGGAAGAAAAAAAGAAAGCACAATGCAAGAAATACCAGCAAAATCAGACAACAGTTCTTAAACTTGAACAAGTAACAGTTCTTAGTTCTTAGTTCCAGAGCGCAGGCTGCTTGTTGCCCGCCTGATATTGTTGGCTTGTTCGGCAACCAAGTTGTGGTACGACAACTGGGACAAAAAATGTGTTAGTAGTAGTAGTTACAGTTACTAGTTCTAGTATAATGCACGTTCATACAACTTGTGTGAACTTGTAATAATATGCTGTAGAGTTGAAGGTTTTCCTGTTATGTGTCTTGCAGGTTTATGATCTGCTGTGACCGGTGTGAAGAGTGGTTCCATGGAGACTGTGTGGGCATAACTGAGGCTCGCGGCCGTCTAATGGAGAGAAATGGGGAGGACTATGTCTGTCCTAACTGCACTGCTAAGAAAAACCAGGTGGTCAGACCTGCAACATCAGCTCTGACCGTGAATAAGAATGAGATTCATCAACTTCCTAAATCCACTTCCCCTTCTGTTGAAATGTCTGCAACTGCTGATCAGACCATGACCACTCTTCCATCATCATCTGAGGATAAAGTGTCGGATGATGTTGGCATTAAAGGCAGAATAGAGAAAGCTTCTAACCCAACTGGGAAAAAGAAGATAAAGATCTTTCAGCCGGTAAGACCTTGTAAATGTCGTCACCAGGTATTCTTAAAATACTGTATGTTGGGAATAAATTGTTTATGTTGGTTGTGTTTTTTTTAAGTGCTACTTTTATATTAATTAAAATAATTAGAAGTTTACAAACTGCTTATATCAGCATCAAAGGCCGTATTGCAATCGTCAGAATTCATTCATTTGTTCAGCAAGACAAACAGTAAGATGATGCAACCAGATTTTCCACTGATGACTACAAATGGCCAGCATCACGTGTGATTAATAAGAAAGAACATAGTGATAAGCTGCATAATAACATTGGTGATTGATAGATGTTGATTTTGTTCACTGAACTGAAGCAGGCAATGCAGCAGACACAGCCAAAAGCAGCCCAGAAGCTCTTGGCGGTGAGGGTGACCAATGCCGCGTCCACAACAGAAGAGCAGAAAGCAGCGCCACCCACCGAGGGCAAGGTGGAATCCAGTGTGGTGATAGAAACGGCACAAGCTGCAGTTGGGGGAGATGAAGAGTCCTCGCTTCCCAAATGTATTGGACCTGGCTGTGAGAACAATGCCCAGCCTGATTCTGTGTACTGTGGGAATGACTGTATCCTGAAACATGCTGCTGCAGCCATGAAGTCAATGACTGACGTCAAAGAGCCCAGTCAGAAGGAAGAGACTAAGAAAACCAAGTCTTCAGCAAAGGTACCATGGACCACTAGAAAATTTCCTTTTTTTATTCACTGCACCCCGCAACTGTGATTAGTGAAGATAAAGATGTAAGTGCGTTCATTTTCATCTGTAGTTTTCATATTCAGATATTTGCGTAACTACTAAATCTTTGTTAGAAACACTGTTCACAAGGATATTGTTCAAAGGTTTGGTACTTACCTTGGTATGGATGTCATGGTTTGGTCCGTCTAACATGAAAAAGAATGTGGAGAGGCTAAAAAGTATTTGGCTGTGCTTTGCAATAATCCTTAATTACTGAAAGTGTCATCTACTACAGTCAATGTGTTTACAAATCTATTATTTGTAAAACAATTTGACAGGAAAAATTCACAGACAAGAGCTTGCAATGCTAGTCATAATTACAGACTTATTCAGTCAGTTTTTGTTTTCAGAGCCTGTGTACAAACATTAATGTGGGCTGAGTGAATGCTCACTTGGCATCCCATGCACATTGCTTTTATTCACGTGGCTGGTTTGTGCTAACTGCTAGTCAATTGAAAATTTCAGGAAACAACCGTATGACTTGAATGAGTGGCAGTTCTCTCTCAACTGTGCTTTGGCATGCATTGGATTATATTCCACCCTGCACCTCCATATACCTGAATAATTGTTCAGTGCGAGTGTATATTTGTACTGAACGGTGCACACACATACTTCAAACGTCTAAATTTTGGCTACATTTTTTGCTAGCATTTTGCTTCTAGTTTACTGTAATGCTGTACTTGAATGTGAAAGTATACAATGATAGGATACCATTAAACTTTAAAACAGTTGTGTGGCTGGTATTGCACTGCTACGTATAATTTAAGTTTTATTGCTAGTCTAGTCTCCATGGCAGACCAACATGTACAGCCCATATTTTAATAGTGAGCACTGACTGAAAAGGGGCTGTCCTGCTAAGTGTCACACTGATGGTGAGCAAAGAGGCTGCTCTGTTTCTGGTTTTGTACGGGGGATACTTGCTGTATTTGTAGTGTTGTTAATTGACAGTAGACATCTATATTGTAGTCATTTATGTTAAATAACTGCCAACAATCATCTCAAATTCAAAGCTCTAGAGGTTACACTTTGAAATGATTAATTTCTTCCAAAACCGTTGACAAGTTAATATTAAAAATTAAGCTGCTGGGAATTATACAGTCAAGAAAAAAGGCCTTTCATAGAGCAAGCAAATTAAGTGTTTTGTACTGCCATTTAACAGTTTTATTTCTTCTTAAAGATGACTTTGGTGAGTGCTGGTGCTGAAAAGCTTAAATGGGTATTTCATCTGTTCATCTAGAGAGACACTCCTGGTACAAAGCAGCAGCGGCGGAAGAAGACGACTCGGACAGAGTCGGACTCTGATGAAGACTACATCCCTGATTCTGATGAGGACGACGAAGATGAGCATGCTGTGGAACAACCACCCCCACCAAACACAGCATCATGGTCCAGCGACCATAATTACATTGCAGTAGCACCAGTACAGACTGCACCGATATCATCAACAACAGTATTAGACAAAAAGTGTATGTATCTTTCTGAGAGTCTTAAGCTGCTGTTGTCACAAATGTTTTTCAATGAAACATGATTTTTCTTCATGTAAATATAAAAGGGTAATTAGGGGTACACAGACCTATTTAATTTGCCAGCTGTTGTGAGTTAAAACGAATGTAATTTTCTTTTACTCAATGCATTGTTTGCAGCTGCTGAAAATAGTGGTCTACCGTGTTTAAGGTAAGTATTCAGTAATCCTACACCCATTTCCCTTAATCCAGATGCTCTATGGAGTGGTTGGTATGTGGTAAAATTAGAGAAACATAAACATGGCCTTTGCAACCAGTTATACAATCTAATCTGCTGCTCCAAAAAGGGGGCTGAAAAGGAGCTTTTTTTAAATTCAGGTGGTAAAAAAAAGTGCTTCCTGTTGGCATTAAATTATTGAACATTGATGGACTTAAATTGACATTTTGACTTTAATATCAGTCATTGAATGCACTTTGATTGATATTAGACCAAAAATTGGGATCAAAGGAGAACAATGAAGGCAGTTTAGTCAGCATTATTGGGACCATTAATGGTGTAGGCAGGATAGTACTTTGAGTGTGGATTCAAATGACTTGCTGTTGTGTTGTGTGAATCTCTGCTTCCTGAGTTCATCGCCTCAGCTGTTGGGCCTATAAAGGTTTCTCCCTCCTTTTCTCTAGCAGGTAGGTGCTAATATAGAGCTGTCATTTGTTGCTCATGTTGAGTAAACAATGATCCACAATTTAAACTCACTTTTGTGGGTAAAAGTTTTCATTTAAAAAATGATGCATTTTTTCTCGTGGAGAAACTGGTTTTTTTAAAATAAAATGATATCACAGATTTTTCAGTGCCTTCTGTGATTATGTTAACAGTGAAAGATTTTTTTTTTTCTTCAACCAGCTTTGGCCCATAAATCTCCACTCAATATTAGGATGTAACCCAGGTGGTGAATGATCAAACAGATTTGCTTCTCAGGGAGTGCTTCGCTCTGCATAATGCACGGAAACCTACAAAGACCCCCAAGAGGTGCACTAGGTGATGCAGTTCAATCGAGAAAGGCTGAATCAGAAGATGGAGGAACCAAAGCAGAGCTTGAGTCTGAAGACCTTCAGAATCTGGAATGCCCTTTGACTCATTGCAAGGGTCTTTGAAGGCAACATTGTTTAAACTGAGAATGAATGCTGATGTCAGGTCATAATGACCAGTTTGTTTTTGAGGGAAGGCCTGTTTCATATTCAGCATGACCAATGCTTTTGAGTGTTGTGGCCAACTGTCATCAGTGGTGTAGATTTTGGGATTCGGAATGTGACTGAAGGTGATAGGTGTAGTGCTGCTGGAGTGAGTTTTATGCTGAAATTGTTATTGCTTTACCATGAGAAATGTTGGCTGGAAGAAATTGTTTGTTTTGTTATATAACATTTTCTTTGAAAAACAGCAATTATAAAAAGTATTTAGTAGTTTTGAAAGGATGGAATAAAACAAGCTGGTTGGGTTAGTTTGTGTTTGGTTTCAGATTGTCCTATCAGCCAATGTTGGTGTTTATGGCTAGGTTGACAAAAAGAGAGATCTTGTAGGATGAGTACTTGTAGTGGTTTATGGTCAGCAGACTGCATGTCAACAAAGCTGCATTTTGGCAAACAGTTTTTTGAAATTATTTGTGCACATTGAGCTGGCTGGTCTCAGAAGAATTCTTTACCCAACTAACCCCAAATGTTCACTAATAAGTCACACTGCAAATACTGTTACTGCTTTATTAAATAGGCAGTATTAGTCACTTCTGTTTTTTTAGAGGTGGTGACTTCAATAAATAATAGAAATATGCTAAAAAAAATCTAATACAAAATTGGATTGTAAAAATGAAGCATTCACATATATGTTGCAAGCTGTTAACGCCCTACATGATGCATTACTTTTCTGTGGGTTGCAGTTTTAATTTGTCCACAAATGGTGATGGACACTGTTGCTGAATTGCAATACAAGACTATTGAATATACTATTTAAAAAGTGTTTAAAATAATCATAATGTTGTTGTTTATTCCAGCATGTTCTGAGGAAGAGAGTCCCGCTGAAGAGGAATTGAAAGAAAAGGATCATAAAGAGAAGGAAAAAGTTGCATCTCTTGAGAAACCTCCAGTGCCTTCAACACCAGTCACTAGAACCAAGAGAACTCCAGAAAAGAAGAAAACCAAAACTTCTATGGCCACTAAAGTTTCACCAAAGGGCAAAAAGAAAACAGTTAAATCTAACACCTCAAAGAAATCTGCATCACCCCCAACTAAACCTGCAACAAAGTCCAAGAAACCAGCCACCACTGCCCCAACCTCCTACCCGACCGGTCCAATCCACATCACAGGCGCCTTGAGGGTCATGAAATCCAACTTTACTATTCCCAAGAAACAACCCCAACAGAAGGATTCTCGTTCCAGCAGTACTTCATCCTCGTCATCAAAAGTCCCAGTTCCTTCATCCCCCTCCAGTCACACACAGACTTCATCATCCAGAACTCCCCACCCCTCGCCATCCCCAGTCCCACCTCCTGTCAACACTGTGATGAGGCAGAATATCCGTCGCTCTCTCACAGACATTCTATATAAAAGGTATGGCACCTTCGTTTCTAAAAAAAGAAAAAAGAAAAGAAAGGAATTCAAAATGTCAACAAAAACAGAGCCATTACTTTTTTTTTCAGGGTTTGTGATAGTGATGATCTAAAAATAACTGAGGCCGAAGTTGCAAAGCTGTCCATTGCAATTGAAAAGGAAATGTTTAACCTCTGCCTCCAAACTGACAGCAAGTACAAGAACAAATACAGGACCCTCATGTTCAACCTGAAAGATCCCAAAAACAAAGTAAGTCAAAAGTCTTGAATCTACATGAACACATTGCTGATGATGTTGGGTCTTTGTTATGGTAAACATGTGTAACCTCTAAATTTTGGATCATCTCTTGAAGTTATTTATCTAATAAGCTTATCAGCTTTTATTGACATGAAAAAGTTTCTTAAAGAGGTGAAGCATCTCTAGAAAAGTCGCTTCTGTAGTTCAAAGATTAAGCATTATCTTGTGTGGTTTTTCCATTTATGAAAGTTCCATTCCACAGTCAAAATAATTTGTCTTATTTGAGGCATTTAAACTCTTATCTGAGAAACTGTAGTTCTAACTGGCGCAGAAGACTCATGGGTGTGAGATAGATTATCTTTAGTAAACACATCCTTTTGCCTACTTTACAATGTCTGAGATAAATGCTGTCACGTTGAGACATCAAATAACTTTAATAATGTATTTGTTGCAGGGACTTTTCTACAAGGTGATGAATGATGAGGTTAATCCCTACCGTTTGGTTAGACTGAGTGCTGAAGAAATGATTTCCAAAGAAATCTCTGAGTGGAGAAAACCTGAAACTTCGGAGGTAATTACTACTTTAAAGTTGACCTGGTTAAAACTAATTATTGGTTGCATTCAAACAGTTTTGCATTGAGATCACAAATCACTACTTATATTACGCATACTATTTCAATATAACTACAAAGCACACAGGAACCAAAAAAGCAATAGTTTGTTATTAATGTAATATGGTGCCTACCAGAAGAGTGATTAAGAAACAACCATGGAAAGGCACAAAAGCTAACAGAAATTAATTTAGAAAAACAAAGATGGTTTTAGTTTTTCAGATGCTGGTTTTATTACACAGATATGGACAAAAGATTTATCAGAAACCCAAATGAATCAGCCTTGTGAGGCTTTCCTAATGGCATACAAATATCGGTTCAATCTATCGGTTGGTTCTTAGGTTAGATTGCTTCCACCCTGATGGCGCTCTCTGCAAACTTAGTTCCTGTTCATTTAAATTCAACATCCAAAATCACAAAAATGTGTTACTGCAGTTCAAAAAACAATCAAATGAAACTGGATTTCTGGTTCCTTTCAGTAACCAGAACAATATTTTTTCTGAATATAAAAGCAAAAATGGTATTTTTATAAATGTTTTCTGTTGGTCTAGTCTTTGAGTTCAAGGGCCAATTCAGGCAAGTCCAGAATGAGCAACAGGCAGGACTTGAATTCTCACAGCATGGATACAGAGGACGCTCCACCTGCATCAGATGTATGTATCAGTACCATTGCTTTCTGTCATATGATTACTGCAGTAAATTATGTTCTTCTCTTGTTTAAAAGTTCAAGCTTCTCACATTTGTGCAGGTTTGAAAACGGAAACCAAAAGACTAATCTAAACATATGTATGGTTTCAGTGCACTGTAAAAAACAGTAAAATGTAAAACATACAAAAGGATTTTTGTATGAAACAATAGTTTCTGCTAAACATATTTCCTTGTAAGAATAGTGAACAGATTTTTTTACAGTTTTCTTTAAATGTTTGTAAATCTAACTCATTAATTACCATCACTTTTGCTTCCATAACTAGGTACACAAACTTACTTGAACTTAACTGAAACAATCTTCTAGTTGAGGGCCCTGACATTTTCTAATTTGTCAGCACCATGTCAGTCTTTAATATGAAAAAATCCTTAGCCTGCATCAAGGCTTTCACTTGGCATTACATGTTGTCAAACAGCTCGTCAGCCCCATGGTGAACTGGTTGGCAGGTTGGGCTGTCTTTAAAGAAGGAAATAGCCTAATTTTTACATGAACTGTTAATCAAACCATATTTACAGCCATCATTGTCCCCCTCTGGTGGCTTACTCTTTAAGTGTCAGTCCATTTCTTTGTCCATGTCTTGGTAGCCAAAAACTTCAAAACAAACCAAGGGATTATCATCTGTCAGCGTTAATGGGAACCTTCTCAGTAATCATCTTCTTTGTCTTCAGGATCTGGAGGAGTCTGGCTCTACTCCTTTGGGCTCAGTTCAGTCCTCTGCTGCTGCAGTGACCAGCAACATGCCAGACATTTTAACTAATATGCTCAAAGACACCACTTCAGAACACAGGACTCATCTGTTTGACCTCAACTGTAAAATATGCACTGGTAAATGAGAGAATTGGATAAGAAGAAGTCTGTGTATTTTTTTAAATATAACTTTTATGTAGCAGATTATCTCATTTTAAATTTCTTTTCAATTTTGTCATCCAGGTCAGAAGTCAGAAAATGAGCCAGCATCAAAAAAGGCAAAACTGAGCATTAAGCCTGAGAGTAAGACACCAGCACAAGATCCATCCAAGCTGGATGATACTTCTTTGATGAGTCAACCACAGGACTCAGTGGCCCAAGAACACTCAGAAAAGTATAATGTGGGCGACCAAGAAGCACAGCAGCAGCTTTACCAGGAGGACCTCAGCTTACCTTTACATCCTATCCAGCCTCTCAGCCTTCCTACTCCGACTGTTTCCTCCGTTAGCATCACCCGTAGAGACCCACGCATGGCTAGGCACAGTTCAAGTGTGACTGTGACCCATACAGCTGCAGAGAAGCCAGCCAGCAACCTAACACAACCAGTGCCCCTGCCCATTATCCATCCAGTGGATGTTGGAGTAAAAGCACAGCTTCCAATGCCTCCAGTGTTGCCATCTTCAGTAGCTGTCATTAAATCGGCAAAAACAAGGTGTTGTGTACAAAATTATAGATATATATATATTTATGTGTATGTGTGATGAAACATCATATATTAAATATTATTTTCAAATTTGGTTAGTTTTTTAAATTTGGGATTCACTTCTGGCTCAGAAAACTAGGGTGTCGCCTTCTGCTTGGCTTCAACAAAGGTGTCAGAAGAGTTGAGATTGATATTAAACCACTTCTAATTGTGCAAACTGTTCTCATAGCTTCATCAAATAGGCCTTTTCAGACATCCACTGACTGTGATATAGTGTCTGCTGTGTCAAACAAATATTTACCATCCAGTCTGTTTTTCAGATGTTGAAGGACAGACCGAGTTGATTTACATTTCCAAATGCATTCACACAAAGGTAGTAAGGTGAGGGTGAGCAGGGTTGGACGTGGTTTGGGGAAATGGCAGATTTTCAGAGGGCACGGGTTGTTGGAGATGAAGTGGCCAGACAGCAGGTAAACGGGAAGCCAGAAGAGAAGAATATTAATGCAGTGAAATAAGGCATACAATAGTTGGTGGTAAAGGAGATAAGACCAAGGACACATAAGATGGTTGCACACTGTTGTAACAGTTGACTGTTTACATACTGTATATCCATACTCATCTCTTTGTTTATTGAGTATTGGGTATAAACTCTCTTCTGACATCTATTCAACCCTGGAGCTGGGCCTTAAGGTGTAAAATGTCCCAACAAGTTGTTTGTTGATATTTATTTTGAATGAATTTAGTTAGGTGATTTTCATATTTAGAAACTTATTAAAGCACAGCCCTGTTTTAATATCTATCTTACCATTAAGTCCCTCTTAAAGTCTGGATATTTTAAACTATGTGCACCCTTGACATATAACGTACGGTGTTTTCTTACTTTTACGTGTCTTGTTTTACAGCACCACTGCTGAGTCTTCCCCAGAAGGAGAGACAGCAATTTTCTTACACGGTCAAGAAAAGATTTGGACTGGATCTATTGACATGCAGACTGTGGCTAAGTTTGTGACCAAGGCTTACCTAGTGTCTGGGTCATTTGAACACCTAAAAGAGGCAAGTCATTTTTATAAATAAAAAAAACATTTGAAATTAGTCTTTCATCTCATCTCAAACTATTACTAATGTTTGTTGACATTCTGCAGGATCTGCCAGAGACTATACACATTGGAGGACGAATCCCTCCAAATACAGTCTGGGATTATGTTGGAAAGCTAAAAACGTCACTTTCAAAGGTTTGATAAGTGATTGGCTTGAAATGTTCTTCTATATATAGAAACCGTGCAAGTTATTATATCGATTTGTTTTGTTTTTTTAATTTACCTGAGTTGGATCAAAAGAGAATCAGATTTTTGGGGGGGGAGGGGTCTTACAAAGCTCAGACAAAGTTCAGAGAGTGGTTTAATAGAAGCTAAATTAATCAAATAACTAAAAGACAACTAAAACCATGAGAACATTTTTCAATAAATCTCTATAATGAGCTCTGTTCCAGAGCTAAATGTCAACTAAAATATATAAGGGATTAGCCTTATACCAATACTATAATGCTACTCAGCAGTTTAAAAAATAGCCTTAAAGCCATACTTTGGCTGTTCCTGACTTACATGCGAATTTATCTCTGAATCTCTTTCTTTGCAGGATCTGTGTCTAATTCGTTTCCATCCAGCTACAGAAGAAGAGGAGGTGGCGTATGTTTCTCTTTACTCCTACTTTAGCAGCAGGAAAAGATTTGGTGTGGTGGCTAACAACAACCAGCGCATCAAAGACCTCTATCTCATCCCCCTGGGCTCAAAGGATCCTTTACCATCCAAACTACTACCTTTTGATGGGCCGGGTAAGTAGTTTCATTTTTTTTGTATGAATGCAATCTAGTGTTTGATTGTCACTACCTTTCGGCTATGCACATTTTTAGTATTTTTGTAGTTACCATTTTAAGACATCCCTTCCCCTGCACTGCTAAGACTGTATAAAAAGTCTTTTTTTTTGTCAAAATACTATTTTACTGGGTTTTACTGCAGGTACAGTAAGACACTTTTCTACCTCATTGACCAAGATCATTTAAAACCAGGAACATTCATACATACTACATATTAGTTAGCTTTCTATCTTGGATTTTTTTTAAATGACATGTACCCTGTAAATGGTTGTGCTCATCAATAATCCTGCATATAAAGGAAGCACTTTTTTGAACCACAAACTAGTCTTTTACTTCTGACAAGCACATCTTTTCTGGACCTTTCTATAGCTGCAGGTCCCTGTTCCTGTCTTGAAATCGTGCCTTTAGAGTTGTTTTATTTTTAATATACCTTTTGCACCTGTACCGCCTGAACTATGTATGTCCAAATACTTGTCTCACAATTTGTGCATCGCCCTGAAATACGAGTCTCATGTATTGAAGTGCAATGTTATATTTGAAAGGATATTTTAAAACTTTTGTTCTTTCTCTATACATGGTCAGCAAATACTTGACAATTGCTAACTTCACCTTCACCTTGATTATACCATTCATTATTTTTCAAATCTTTTATAAACATTTTTTTTCAATTATTTGTGTTTGTAGGGCTTGAACCTGCTCGTCCCAATCTCCTTTTGGGATTATTAATCTGCCAGAAGGACAGAAAACGTTCTGGTGCTCTGTTGGAACCAGAGGAAAAACGACCCAAGACTCAAACCAAAGACATAGACATTACTGGTCTGCCAAAGCCCTCTAGAGCAGAAAGAAGTGCACGACAGAGTCAAAAAATTCTTCTTAGCACTACTCCTCCAGGATCACCTCCTTCTGGTCCTTCTGAGACCCCGAGCGGCAATATTATAGTCCCACCAGCTATCTCCTTACTGCCTTCAACTAAAGCATCATCTTTGTTAACTTCCACTACTACTGACCCCGCATCCTCAAATACTTCTGTCTCTTCCACTGCACCCGCTGCCACTCCTCTTCAGACCATTCTAAACCTTTTAAAGAAGACAAAGCATGACTCGGATGCTTCAAACTCTCCATCCGAACAGATTGGGGAACCCTCCATTCCTGCAACCTCACTACTAGATCCAATTGTTAAGCAGTATGCTCAGACCCCTAAAAACAACCCTGTGGAAGAAGATGAAGATGACCGGCCTTATGACCCAGAGGAAGAGTATGATCCAAGTCGGGGTTATAGTTTTCCTAAGACATCTGCTGAATTGGCATGCAAACCTGTTGTTAAGCAGCCTGAGGAGGTTGAACTTGAAGCAGATGATGTAGCTTATGACCCAGAAGATGACTCCATTTTTGAAGATGTCAAGTCTTTGCTCCCTGTTCAAGCTCAGTCTGCTGACAGTTGTATAGCTGACCCACAGAAGATCCTGGAGAACCTTAAAAAGATTGGGGAACAGCAATTGCAGAACAGGGAAAATGAGAAAGTGCCAAATTTGGAGACACCAGCTGCCCCACAGACTCTCACAGACTCGCTTTTATCTCAACCAACAAAATCCCTTTTGGCCAATAGCCAATTACTTCAGCTCGGTAAAAAAGTGGAGGCACTAGTAAAGTCTTCAACTATTGCTCCCTTGATCAATCAGAGCAGAGATCCTCGCCAAAGCAGAGATCCTCGTCAGACGTCCAATGACTGGAATCTTACTAATGAACAGGGGGAGAAAGATGTGACATCTGCTCCACTGACAGAGCCTGCTCCTGGTTCAGAGCTACAGCTGACTGGTGCCGTAGACAATCACAACCCATCACAAGACAAAGTAATGGAGCCATTTCAGGAGAAAGACAAAGGTGATGACGATCTTAGCTTCATGGAGTCAGACCAACCAGAGGTATGCATTCCATTATTGGGAGAGAAAGTGGAACCTGACATTGAGGTTAAATACATGGATGAAAAAGTGATGAAAACTGAGGAAACTGAGCCAGTGAGCACAGAAATGGAAATGCATAAGTATAATATTTGGCCAAACACTGCTAAAATTGTAAAAGCTGATGATGACTTTGATTATGAGGAGGACAGCAAAGACACAGCAGAAGAAGACTACTACAAAGAGCCAGAAAACAGCAACAGCATAACTTCCACCATCCCAGTGATCACTCAGAGCAAGGAAGTTGAGACCCAGCCCCACCATGTATCACATCACATGACTGCACCTGGTTTTGACAGTGAGTACAGACCTCGTTCTGATAGCCCCCCCAAATGTAACTTTTCCCTAAATGTTCCAATGCAAGGACCAAACTTGATGATTAGGCCTCCACCGATTACCATGCCACCACCCATGCAAGGTGTTCCTCCAATGACAGGACCTCCTCCGATGCAAGGACCTCTACCCCCAATGCGCATTCATCCCCCTGTACGTGGTCCTCCTCCAATACAAGGGGATGGCAGTCAGCAGTATGGCCCACTGCGGAGTTCATACAACCCCTATCAAAATCAGTGGCCAAGACCTCAGCCACCACTGCAGCAGCAGCCTCCTCATGGACTACCTCCACAGAATATCATGCCACCCAGAGGACCACCACCACCATTTCCTCCTGTTGGCCCAAGAGGACCTTCTCAAATGTTTGATCCCTCAATCCCTCCGCAGCACATGATACAACAAGGTCCACCTCCTAGACTCCCTGCACCCCCTGTTTTTGATGGACCAGGCAACTTACCCCCACCGAGATTTGCAGGTCCACCACCACCTTTTACTTTCCCTGCAAATAGAGGCCCCCCTACACCATTCACAGTGCCACCTCCTGGTCATTTTGATAGCAGACCTTTTCCATCCCATTTCCCTGGACCTAGGGGAGCCCCACCATCTCAGTATAGTGACATCAAAACCCAACCTCCAATGGTTGAACAATCTCGTGGCCTAGCTGGTTTCTACAACAAGGATGCAGCAAACTCTTACAAAATAAATGTTGATCAGAATATAAATCCTTCGCATATTTTTCAAGACAATCAGGCCACACCACCAGGTCCACCATACCGTGGGCCTCCAACTAACCAGTATGAGGACAGGCGAGGTCCCCCTGCTTGTGGGGATATGGGTGGACAACACTTTAATCTACGCAACCAGTATGAAAATTCCAGGCCACACTCGCCACCACACAGGGTATTTGATGAACAGAGAGACAGAGGTTCTCTGCCTCATGAGTCTCGACCACATTCCTCTCTGCCGTTTGGAGGATCTGAGCGATATCGTTTTGATAGACATTCAGATGAGGCCAGACCTGTGTGTGAACCTCCACTGTCAACTCCTCCAGAGGCTTCCATGAGCACTCCAGGGCACATGGGACGCCACAGTCCAGACCTGCACAGAGAAGACCTCTGGCATCGTCACTCTCCTGAATTCAGAAGGCGGAACAGCACCAATCAGAAAGAGTCAGAAACTCATGGTGGAACAGGACATAGGGAATCACCAATGGGTTCCTTGCAACCCTCTGAAGACAGGCAGAGGGATTTGTCTGAAGATCACAGGATGGAAAGAGAGGCTTCACATGTGAGTAGGCCACCATGGGATAGAGGACAGGGAAAGCGATGGAGCAGAGAGCCTGAGTGGGACAAAGGCAAAGACAGAGAGCGGGATCCAGATCGAAGCTGGGAAAGGGACCGCAGCAGAGGGCGAGAAAGTGATCGGCACAGGGAGACTGAGGCTCATCGAAATAAAGATCAAGAGTCTGACAAGAGGCGAGATAGAGAGAGAGATAGGGCCAAGGAGAGAGAGTCTGACAGAAGAGACCATGAACGGGACAGAGGCAAGAACCGTGAACGAGAACGAGATCGGGACCGAGACCGCCGTGAACGAGATAGGAGACGGGACAGATCTAGAAGCAAAGAGAGGTCACAGGACAGAGAACGTGACCGTGGCAAAGAGCGAGGCAAGGACAGAGATCGTGAAAAAGAAAGAGAGAGGGACAAGGATAGGGAGAGGGACAAAGATAGGGAGAGGGACAAAGATAGGGAGAGGGACAAAGATAGGGAGAGGGACAAGGATAGGGAGAGGGACAAGGATAGGGAGAGGGACAAGGATAGAGAGAGGGACAAGGATAGAGAGAGGGACAAGGATAGAGAGAGGGACAAGGATAGAGAGAGGGACAAGGATAGAGAGAGGGACAAGGATAGAGAGAGGGACAAGGATAGAGAGAGGGACAAGGATAGAGAGAGAGACAAGGATAGAGAGAGAGACAAGGATAGAGAGAGAGACAGAGATCGGGACAGAGACCGGGACAGAGACAGAGACAGAGACCGAGATCGCAAAGACACAAACAAGACTCGCGAAAAGAGAGATGAGCGAAAGGACAGTAAAGATACAACAAAGGAGGCTGATAAGTCTATGGACAAAAAAGGGTCTTGAGCAAATTCAGTCTCATTACCAGTCAGAACCATGTATCTTGTTAAATTTCTTTTTGTATTTCTGTAATACAATGTTTTTTTGTTCCCTTAACATTACAGATTATGTGCTTAAGGACAAAAAAGACTGAATGGCATTTAAGTTTAATGTCTAAAACTGTCACCAAACCCTCCTATATTAATACAATATCTGCGTCAGTGTCTTTTTTAAACCAGTAAAACTTAATCTTTTTTCATCTTGTAAATAGAAAATTATTTGTGTACATACTGGTGTTTTTAATCTTACTTTTCCAAGTAGAGAAAATAAAAGCCATATATGTGAGATGGACTATGTGAAAGCTAAGACGACGAGTTTTTACCGGGAATCAAGCAGCTTTGACTGAAAAAAAGCTGTACTTTTCTTTAGTAGTTACTACTTTAACAATTAATGAATGTCCTAAGATTGTTTCACCACCACTAATTAAGCCTGTTTGACATTTACCTGCTTGTTCCATCATGTCTTTTAATTAAAAAGGAATACAAACTGCTGTTTTTCTTCAGTCCAGAATATTGTTAACAAGACTTTGTGATACAGGGAAGATTGTTTAATAGCACATTTATATAGTACATAAAACAGTACTTGAGTAATGTTTTTTTCCCTAAAATGCAATGTGATAGCAAACATTTGGCACAAAATTAAATATGATTTAAAGAAATGAGAAGTGAGCCAAAGTTTAATGAAAGTACAAAAATGTGTATGTTAGGATTCTTCAAACAACGCAGCGACGTTCACCCGTTTTCCTCGTATCAGTGCGATACAGTACTTTCTGGCTTATCCTGAGCATTTCTCTTGCACATTCACAGTTGATCAGAAAGACCAAATATGTCACACACATTCATTAAATATACTATAATATAAAGCATGTGTAGTACACGTGTGATCAAACAAGTTTACTAGCAATATAAACAAAGATGGCAGAAGGCACGCCCCAACTGCCTGCTATGTATAACATGTATTTTAACAGGAAATGTGTAAATTCAGCAATTATGATCATGAAATGTTAAAATCATAGAAAACAAATTTATAGGACAATCGAGTGGAAAAAATGATTTTCTCTTGTCATATTATTTTACGGCGTTTCACCTGCCTCCACTGACTGCACGTCAAAATAAAGTACAAGAACCAAATGGTAATAAATCACGAGTTGAGATCAGTGCATTGAAGTAACTGCAGCAATTAGTTGGATTGATTCAATTCAGAGCCCAGGCCTGTTTCTAGTCTGTTTTTTTTATTGTTTTGGCGTGTGCCGTGGAGTGATGCTTCATAAGATGAGATTGTGCACTTCGCATGTACATTCTTGCCTTTTACCTGAAAATTAAGTGCCTATATTTCCATTTTGAAAACGCCAACTTTCCATCCAGACTCGCCATTGCGATCACTTACCTCTAAATGTTCAGAGGTAAGTGGCCAAAACCTGCGAGCGTATGATTTGGTGTAAACACTGCATCTGATTGGCTTACCATGAAATCTTACTCTGCCTTAGCCAATCATCATCAAGTATGCGTTCGCCTCGTCCCTCTCTCCTGCCTCACAAGAAACAGCTTCAATGAGTTGCTTTCGTTTATAATATACACAATTAATTAAACTGTCGGTAACGGGTTATAACGATGGAAATAGTATTTAGTTAGACTACCCGTTACTGACAAATAACGTTTATTTCAACGACGTTATTCCCATCACTGAAACTGAAGGACGAGTAAAGTCCTTTGTTGCAATATACAGGTTCACCGTTTGAGGTCGCCAATACTTGGATAACAGACGTTGGAGTTGTGTAGCTGAGGTACTAAGAGGAGCAGCAGCATCAGGACACGTGACCGACCTGTCTGCTGCTGGCGAGTGGCGATTGACGCGTAATAGCAGGTAATACAATGTCTATTGACTTAGCCCTACTGTAAACCTAAAAAGACAAGAACAATATAACTTTTTTCCATTTAGTCATGTCTCGACAGCATACCGGTGTAAGTTTGCGTTGAAGCCGTTGGTCACTCTTGTGCTTTCTTCCTGGCAGCAGTGTCAGGTTGAGGATGCGTTTCAATACAAACCCTTAACCAAGGCCCATTTTAAAAACACATTTCCACATTGTCTGTTGTTACCTTGGTGTGTATTTATTAGCGTCGTTCGACTTTTGTCAATTGTTACTAAAATGATGGCCGTTATCCGTTATTAGCTGGCGTATCACTGAACCTCAACGTCTCTAGTACCGTTCACTCTTAATGTCGGGATATTTAGCATCTTCATGGCTAACGAAACTGGCTGCGATGGGAAACAATGAGACCTCGAGCTCTTTCGTCGTGAAATCGTTTAGATTCGTCGAAAATGATGTTTTATATAACAGATAAAGGGCGTTGGTTAATATAAGGATAAACTAGGTGTATTTAGGAGAATTTGGCAGGCTAACCCGAAAAGCTAAATTGTTAGCATATATTAATATGCGGTTTGTAATAATAACAAAACTGCGGTCTTCGGTAAGATCGTAACCCCATATCTAGTTTGTGGCATATGGGATTGATGGATAGAGCAATGAAATCTGTCGATTTGCAATCGTCGCTGTTTGTTGAAATCCGTGTAATGAACAATGGAGATGATCATGGTCAGTTGTAAAGTGGGTTGTTATTGTTTTGATCTGAGAACATATTTATTTGTGCCAGAATCCTCAAAATAGACACATATTTATACATGTCCGCTGTTTAGTTTATGGTATATAAATGTTAAATCCAGTTAACGTTTTTGTTTTGAATTTCGCGTTTGAAGCGACTTGTATTTGTTAGCTTTGTTCCACGCAGCAGCCAATGGCTGCAGAGCTTTTGGCAGCGTCACTCAGACAGTGAGCTGACTGCTTTTGTTCTGAAAACAACGGACATAGAAAATAAACCCTGTGTCCTTCTTTCAATTGTTATTCGATGTAAAGAAGGTTTACTTTAGAAATCACTTACTCATCAAACTTTTATTTTAGACGTTGTCCTGTATGTACTTAAAAAAATCTCCTTTATTTGCTCCCACATATAGCCCTACCGTGATGCAATGTTTATTTAGTTGAAAGTTGTTAGTGTTTTTATGATTGTTGTTATGATTTGCTTAAAGTCCTGCATTGTTGCAAATAGAGTTGCATGTCATGTGACTTGTGTTGATAACTGGAA